TGAATGTTGTACCATACCCATGTGATGATGGTGGTTAGCAACTGAAAAAATGAGGTGAGTCCATCCAGCTCTCTTTGGGTGATGCCCCTTAGTGGTGGGTGGCGGTACTGGGCTGCGTCTGGATTTGGGAAGTCTCGTCGCAGGTTCTCATGGTAGAGCATAAGGGAGTGAAAAAAATGCTCCCAAGACACTGGGCTGCCCGAAACTCCCTGGATGTTGTCACCTGGATGTGTGTAAATGAAGTTCGTTGGTATTCATTTGGATATGTATCAAACTGAAACAATAGGCTTTTAACACTTTAATGTTCATATCACCTAAATCTGGAGGATTTGAAAGTATAATTTCTTTCATACCTACTACTGAACAGTCAATACTCTAATAACGGTTTCAATATCAGATATCAATGAAAACATGTACACAATCTGCTCTTACTATGAGTGGCTCCGTTGGTCTTAAGCAGGCTGAAGCAGTAGTGAGCACACTGAGGACCGTTGGCGAGGCCTTTTAGCATACGGAGATAGGAGATATAGAGAGTGGACGGCAGAAGGTCTCCCATCTGACGCACAAACTTGGACAGAACCACCTGCATTAAAGCATTCAAAAAGAAAGAAACTCTATTAAACAGAAAGACTCCAACTTTAACATTTTGGAATTTTTAGTGCAACCACGGTCCAGCTCTTACCTGTTTATGTGGAGGCCTTTGCAGTGCCATTCCCAGGTAGGATCCCTGCAGGGAGGTGTGTTGGAGAGACTCTGTGGGACACCAGAACTCCAGACCCAACTCCAGCCCAAATGAGTCCTTACTGTAAAACTCTCCTATCTGGAAAGACAAAGCAGTAACCAACACTGTGACTTCAACCTACAGTGTGTGCAGAATTTCTCTTTACATCATTCTGTTATTGTTTGCTTTAAAAGCTGCTCATCTAAGAAAGTATTCTATTCATTAGTGCCTCAACATTATCACTTAAACACATAAAATGTAAAACGCTTAAGTTAGCTGACAGGCGTATGAAGTGTGAAAAAGACTGACGAGGATCATGAGGTGGTCTAGGTCCTTGCGTAGCGATGATGGAAGCTCGCTGTCCATCTGTAGGGACATGTGCACCAGACGGGCATCCTCATCAGCGCGGTTACGAAGCTGTTTCACCTATAAAGACGGCAAAAAGATGTTCATTAAATAATGTAAGTAGTACACGAAAACAACAACCTGATAACCAATCAACAACATCTGACACTACAACATGCAATCCATACAAATCAACCTCTTTCTGTTTCTCACCTTCATTGGCATGAGTGCCAGGAAGTCTGTGATGAGTGAATGGAGGCGGCGGACGTAAAACTCTTCCTGGGCAAAACTCTCACATCCCAGCATGCCCTCCTTCATAAACAGGAAGACATCTCCCAGTAGAGCCTGGTCAGCCAGAGCCTCATCCGCCTCAGTGAATTCAACCAGGGCTGCACAGCACACACATACAAATACGTTACATTTAAATGGCTACTATCTTTGAAAACTCACTCGAAGGAACATTTAATTCATGTTTAAGAAATAGGGGCCGTACCGCCTCCCTGTGGTAGCTGAGAAAGGACCCTCAGAGAAAGAGCCCAGGCCAGTCGACACACAGCCTGCAGGCCTGGAAGCTTCCATGGCTGGCCGTCCATCAGGCGACTGTGCACTACGGACACATACTGCCTCTCAGTCAGCAACGGCAGCGCCTGGAGCAGATCTAGATGTACACGACACACAGAGACAGTCCTTTACTAGCTGCAAAAGCAAAAGGCTGAAACTAAGAGCAATCGTGCGCATAGCAGCAAGTGGATTTTAACCGGTGAGTTCAAGCAAGGCTAAAATTCTAGACTATATGTATTTAACATGATCTCACCATCTCTATCTTCTGTTCCCTGTTCTACAAAGCTAACATCCAAGCAGTAGAGCAGTGCCATGACCAGAGACATGTTCATGCTGTCCAATGAGCCATCAGCTTGAGCTGTCACTGTCTCCAGGTGGCCAATAAGAGCCAGGGTGTCATCTTTACTCAAAGGTGATTGGCAGGTCCATGAAAACAGGCTGTCTGCCAGGGCCTGCTGGGATTCTCTGATCAGGTCAGAAACCTGGGGACAAGGACAGAGAGGGTTAAAAGTTGTCCATGTTCCTCCGTCTGTATTCTTCCACTCCATGTTTCTACTTCAGTTACAGCAAAAAGCTGCTGGGCTTTGTCAGTTTGAGACAGAAATGAATATATTGTGAAGTTAATTATTTGGTTCCAAATGAACACAAAAGATTTGCTCCTACCTCTTTCCTGTGCTTCTCGTCGCCGAGGCCGCGCGCTTTCTGCAGACGTTCAAACTCACGAGTCACATTGATCTCTGACACCAAGGTTAGGATGCGTTTGGTCAGACCCTGGTTCATCAGTTCATCTGTAAAACGGGTTGTCAAAGCCACCAGCTCTCCACTGAGTGAGAAAACAACCAACAGTACAGATCAATAGCAAGAACACAAACACAATAACATGCTCATTATGTGGACCTTTAAAAGCACCTGTCATTGCTTGAATGTACTACCTGCAGATAGATTTATTACCTCAGGTCCAGGGTGAAGGTCTTGCCATGGCGTGACTGGATGAGTGTGCGCAGGGAGTTGGCCACACAAAGCTTTCCATCCCAGTAGAGAAGCACAGCTACTAGACCTCGTGTCAGACCTGGAAAATGTGGTTGCTGGTGCTCACCTGGAGACAGAAAATCAAATGTGAGATCACAATGTCTTTAGTGTTGACTGTTATACAAGGCAACCTCAAACAAAATAGCCATTATTTACTACCGTGAGTGCTGTATTGGTATTACGAAAAAATATTACATGGTCACCAAAGCCCACTTTACCTGCCAACAGAAGCTCCAAAGCCGCCAACTCTCCAATATCAAACAAATCACTGAGGATGAAGGCCTCTTTGAGAAGCTGCTCCGGAAGGAGCCGTGACCCCTGCTGACCTTGGATGGCGATGCCTTCAGTGCTGGCTTTACGCACCTTTTCTCTCTGCTCTGCACTCTTTGGCTACAAATGAGAAAACACCAAACCTATTAACATTACAGTCCCAGAAGTCACTGAACGTACGCTGCACAAGAAGAATACTATTGTAACATTCAAATATGATGTGACAGTCATTACAAAGGATGCGTTTGTGTTTGAACAGTATCTCACCGGGTTCCTAAAGAGTGAGAGAAAGTGCGCTTTGTGTTTCTTCAACTGCAGGTCCAGGAGGTGGACGCTCTCTGGCTGTCTCCTCAACACCGCCCCGTCCACCGTCTCCCACAACTCCTTCAGCGGCCCCCACAGACTGGCTCCTGGGTGGATAAATGGATTTTTAAAAAGGTCTTGCACATGCACATAAGCTGATTTCTACCACTGGATCATTTCTTTCTCTAATTTTGGCCATCAGCATCTCTTTTACACATTTTATTTATCCCGTATATGACAATCTGCTCCTGCACGCAAAACTGAACTCAACTTTGGCAAGAATCCAATTCTATTCTGGGAATATACAGTAAGTGAATCATCTCTTACGCAATTAATAGTCGTGTCATCTGATGACTGACAGGACGGATGTCAGGAAGTGAGTTTTTTTTTTTTATGATGTTGACATTTAGATCCTCTTTCAGACTGTTATGATGAGCAATACCTAGTATAGATATGATGTTAAATACATACAGCTTCATAAAAACTAATTTGTCGTTTGATTGACAGTAAAAGACTCCAGTGAAGTAACTTTAATATTACACAGGGCTGCACGATATGGTAAAATCATCATTTTGCGATATTTTGACAGATACTGTCAATGATTATTTTTGCACCACAAGTTTAAATTTCACTGAAAGAAATATTACAATCACGACAATCAAACCAAACAAATGTAGAGAACAAGATGTGTAGGCCACAGTAACTACAGTGCTTCATTATAATGCTGTTTTATCACATATTTATCACTCAGCACCTTAAAGATTGCAGCTTCTGCCCAAATATATTACATTACTTTTATTATTCTTGAATCTAGGAGCTGTCTGTTATTGTAGATTCATCACTTACACCCTGTATTTATTGACTACTGTCTCGTAAAGTCAACAACAAATCACATGTGTACAAACAAATGAGTAAACAACTGCCACTGACAGGAGCGATGTAAGATGTTAGTTTCAGCCTAAATATTCGCTGTTACACGAACTGGTCTGGGAGTTAACTTCAGGCGTGGTGCAGTAGAACCACAGTGTGCCAAAAAACACCAAAAACACCAAAAAAACACCAAAAAAACACATTTCTTTGCTTGCTCCAAGTCAGTTTCGTTTACTTCTTCTTCCCTAAGCTAAGTTAGCCTAGCAGCCGGAGCCTGACCCATCACCATGCGGTCACAAGCGAACAACATGAGACACAGCCGGCTACGGAAGGCGAACATGTGCGTGTTTATCGGTGAAATCACGACCCGTAGACAACTGCAAGAAGACGGACACAATAACGTTGCTTAATGATAGAAATATAGTTCATACCCGAATTTACCGCCATCTGCGCCGCCATGATACGCTCGGAAAACTGGACAGGAGTCTCTGCGCTTGTGCCGGTGTACAATTTAAAAAGATTAATTCTCTAAACACGCTTTGGTAATATTTTTAGCAACGAAATATGAACCACTACTAGTTTTATGTACATTCTGGGTAATTTAATCTGTAATATATTTAAACTATTGCCGTAAGTCTGTACAATCTGTTCAGGCGGGGTCCTCAGACCGTTGGAGCCGTCGAGATGTGCAGCTGGATGGGAATTGTAGTTTTCTATTGCATTTTAACTCAAGAAGTATTTTATGTGTATTTCCTGTGGATATGAGTTTATTTTAAAAACCCCTATTCTCTTCCAAATATTATTTAATATGAAACGTCTATAAAACAACACTTGTGTCGCTTCGAAACGCGTTAATGAACAACAAGAGGCAGCAACATTGGTTCCGCCCTGCGTTGGCCTCGTACTGTTTCGCCGTAACACCAAGATGTCCATGCTACTCTGACAGCTGTGTGTCGGTGACCGCTGGGATGGAAACTTAAAACATATTTAAATGTTGCAGCACATTAAAATAAAGGCTGTTGGGGACATTTTAATCTGAACCATGGCTCGGGTTGTCCGAGGGTTTCGGACTCTGCGGAATCACTGGAAGAAGTCCACATTTGCCGTGTGCGTCCTGTCTTACGGCGGCTACTGGCTGTATGGTAAACACTGGTGAGTAATCCCAGGTTATGGTATCTCCACAGATTCAATAAAGCCTTTCTCCCCCCCCTCTCCCTGTGTGTCTCTTACATTTGTACCTATATCTTAACAGTGACAATGTTCTGCGGAGAGAGGCTTGCCTGGTGGCCAGGGTAAGACTTATTTTTTTTGCACATTAATTATAAACTAAAGCCTTCTCCAGGTGAGTGCCCATCAGTCTCATCATTGTGATCTCTGTTAGGAGTTTGGGCGTCAACAGATTGGACCACAGGAGCGGCTGAGGAAAGCAACAGTGATCTTGAACCCTGCAGCTTGCAGTGGGTAAGAAGACTCAGAACAACTCCCACTGACAGTTTTTCTCTAAACACACCAGCAGATCTTTCTTTCTAAAAGCAACTTCCAACTTCCTGTCTCATTCCTTCCTCAGGAAAGCCAACAACCTGTTTGAAAAGAACGCTGCTCCCATCTTACACCTGGCTGGTGTGGAGATTACAATAGTAAAGGTATCATTTGTTCCTTTATTCCAGTGTTGTTAACAGACACAGACTCTCATGCAGGGAGTGATTAGTGGTGCTTTAGTGTTCTACTGAACGATTCTGAAGGATTTTTGTGCCAGCGACGCTCAGATTTTTTAAAAAAGTGGTCATTCCAGCTGTTAATCATGTCCCAAATGGCTTTTTTATCCTGTTATATAAGTATTTGTTGTGTTGAGTTGGTGGCAAATGATTAAATCTAATCAATTAATGCTATTAGTGGCTCTAGTAGTGACACCGTGATTGTATATTGCTTGATTGTTTCCTTACAGACAGATTATGAAGGCCAGGCAAAAAAACTGATGGAGCTCATGGAACAGACAGACGTGCTGATCGTGGCCGGAGGGGATGGCACCTTGCAGGAGGTCGTCACAGGCTTGCTACGAAGGCCGGATCAAGTAGGTGTCACACCGTGTTGGTCTTTCATCAGGCTTAAGGAGATAAGGACAAATTCATCCAAACTTTTCTCTCAATTATGTCAGGACGCAATCAGTAACACACCGATTGGATTCATTCCACTGGGCTCTCAAAACACCCTGAGTCCAAGTCTTCACCTCCTCAGTGACAACAAGGTCAAGTAAGTATCTTTTTCTGTATCATAATTAAAGATTTTATCATCACACAATCCCAACATAGACTGTGGATGTGGCTCACTGAGTACATCTACATATATGGGTATGGTGTGAGTTTCTTCATCGGTAACGTAAACTAATGTTTCCCACCTCTGTACATTTTTCAGAGACATCACATCAGCAACACTGTCCATTCTTAAGGGGGAAACGGTGCCTCTGGATGTGCTCCAAATCAAAGTAAGACACTGCTTCTGTTTACAACGTTATGAATTTAAAGGGCCAGTGTGTAAGATTTAGTGGCATATAGATAGATCCTCCTAAAAGTTACACACTGGTCCTTTAATGTTTATCCTGAATGCAGATTCTTGCTTATTTATTTTCAGGTCAGAGGAACAGATAATTTAAGGAATTTGTTTTGATTGTTTATAATATGCATTTCTTCATCACATAGGATAATTAAGTTAAACTGTAATGGAAGATAATTGTTTTGGTTATTACAGTGCAGCGAGATGTTACATGTTAGTGGGAACTTATCGTGTGTGTGTGTGTGTGTGTGTGTGTGTGTGTGTGTTTCTAGGGGGAGAAAGAGCAGCCAGTCTTTGCTCTGATGGGACTACGGTGGGGTGCTTTTCGAGATGTAGCTGCAACAATCAGCAAGTAAGATTACACGATTGGTCTCTACAATCCTGGGTAAACCATGACGTAACTCCACATACATAAGAGTAATTAACCATATTTCCCCGTAGATATTGGTACCTTGGACCACTGAAGACAAAGGCAGCACATTGGTTTAGTACTCTACAGGTAAGGTTATATTAAAACACATCATTATCTCATGAGGTAGTTGCTATATTTCATGTCCCTGTTTACTTGTCACCCATGAGCGTTATATAATGTGGCTGCTGCTGTATTTTAATCTTCCACTGTTGTAAAACCTCTCAGGAATGGCCCCTGGTTCGGGACGTCTCGGTGTCCTACTTGGCTCCCACCCTTCGGCCCCCTGACCTTCCCCCCCAGAAGCCCCCCAGACCCAGCCTGCTCTACCGCATCGCCCGCAGACTGAAGAACTACTGGAGCCCTCCTGTTGAAGGTAGCGTGTGTTATCATGCTGATATTTGGATCACAACATGACACCAAATCCCAACAGTAAAATACTGTGAGCTCGAGCCCCAGTGGCCCGGGCTGAGTCCTCGCTGTGGAGACCATGGGTTCGGCTCCGGCCTGTGGCGCTTTGCTGCGTGTCGTCCCCTCTCTCTTTCTCCCCACTTTGCTGTCACTCTTCAGCTGTCGTTATCGCTTAATGGCGAGCTGTATTTTTCGTTTATGTGTCCTCAGAGCCTCCAAAAGTGGAAGAGCCAGAGGAGTGGAAGGAGCAGCAGCTGTCAACATTAGAGCTGTTTATTCAGACACACAACAAAAACCCTGTGGAGAGGGTCAGTCAAAATGTTATGTTTATAAAGCCTTGTAACTGTTCTCATAAAACCCTGAGTACTTGAATGATCCCATTAGTGATGGTCCCATTAAACCCCTCCTGCTTTGTTTTCCCCTGTTTATAATTTTTTATGCCTGTTTATTTGAACTTGCAGCGCATAAATGACTCCCTGATGATCTGTGCAGAACCGGACAACTTCACTGTGGGCGAGTTCATCACTGTCGGGTTAGTAGTTTCAGTTCTGTTATTAGTCAGCTGCAAACTGAGAACACAATTGAGCCAGTATACAGTGTATGAAAGCACATGATTCCATACATTCAAGAAAAATTATGTAAATGTTCTTCATTATAGGGATAAAAAAGAAGAGGACCCCACTGTATTCACTAAAGCCTCTACAAAACTGGAAGCCAGTGCTTGCCGGCTGCAGCTGCCAGAGGTGAGAAACCTTTTATATGACTGCAAAGCAAACCTATATTAGTACCTTTAAAGCTCAGCATACATGTTTTTGTTCTGACATTGAACTCGGTCCCTACCCCGCAGGGTGCCGCTGGCTTCTACAACATCGACAACGAGGAGTATGAAGCCATGCCTGTGGAGGTAAGGCTGTTGCCACGGAAACTACGCTTCTACATCAGTGCAGAGCGCAGAGAGCAGCTCCTCTCGCAGATGCAGTGAGGAGAAAAACAACTCAGAAAAAAACAGAAAGAGGACAAGAACAGCAAGACAAAAACTGAACTCAAGAGAAAAGCAAAGAACCAGATGCTTCGAAGCTCTGAGGATCCTGAAGTACTATTGGTCTGTCTTACTACATGGAAGCATTGCTCAGTTGAAGTTATCAGTTGATACTATATTATATTACATGTCGTTGTATGTGAAAGGACCAACGCTTTGTTTGTTAAGCCATGTACAGGTTGTCTTACAAATGGACTTTATGTTTACTGAATGGTTTACTATCATTTGAAGTTGGTCAATAAATATAATATCTGTCCAATTCAACAAAAAAAGTGTTTTTATACCAGTTTGACGTTTTGTATGCGATGGAAGCAGATCCCTGGTGTAGATGAGGAGTGCAGTTGCAAGTAGCTACAATGGTCCAGAAGAGTATGGATGGTTTGGAGGTTTACAGGTGAATGAGTATGGAAGAATCTAGGCATGCTGCAGCATTCTGAATGTGCTGCAAAGGCCCAAGTCTTTTTTGGCAGACTCCCCGGTGAGGCTGGGTCTGATCCGACAGATGGTGTAGACAGCAAATCTGCCGGATTAAAGCAAGTGGGCTGCATTGCAGGCCTCCTTATCATATTTGGTTCTTCAGGAAATGACAAAGAAGGGGTCTCGGCTTTCTTTTGGTTGTGTTAATTGTGGTGGAAGAATCTTGTAGGGGAATGTCAGTGGTTGAATGAACTCCATTCACTTAAGTACAATTTTGAGGTACTTGTAGTTTACTTCACTTTCTTTGTTTGATGTCAAATCAAGCTCATAGGGCCACGCCCCTTAAAATTCAGTGAGCACAGAGAAACCTTCCACTTTCAGCAGATTAATGTGAAAACATCCTTCTGGTGTCAGACTCTGTACATACATCATTCTGCACTCTGCAACATCCAACCAGAGGACCCAGAGGAACATATTTCTCAAGGGGCCCTTTAAAATTGGCTCCATCTCAACCAATGACAACTGTAAAATGCTGCTTACACTTTCACTAGTGAAGATTAAATAATGAAATATATAATAATATAACACTAGTGGATGATATTTTTCTGTATGAGTACTTCTGATACCTGCTGGTAATACGTATGTACTTTTACTGAAGAACTACTTTGAATGCAGCACTCATTCATTTGTGACCAAGCATTCTTCCACTGTGGCATTGCTGCTTTTACTTAAAGGATCTAAATACTAATTGCACCACTGGGGTACGCTGAGGGAAGATGAGTGCCTCTGTCTTGTCCAAATTATCCTGAATATTATATTATTGTGTCTTGGAAAGCAGTAATCTTTGTCAGAGGGGGAAGAGAGAGGTGTAGGTTGAGTAGGATTATGAAAGATATGCAGGGTTAGAAGATTAGATAACACCTAAACTGTATCAATGTTTTATTGTTTAACAATGGCAGTACAGTGAAATTAACAGTTGCTCATGCTATTGAGTTCATGTGTACATTTACTGACATCTCTTACAGTGTTTCACATTAGTAAAGGTAAAGACTTATTCCGTGGATACTCTTGATTTACATTACAATCAAGGAGAAAACTACTTGGGTGTGCTGCTGCATGTGTGCAATACTTTTGCTGTCTTTGACATTCAGTAGAGTGACACTGTACAAATGACTCGTTTGGCTAATGCTGGTACACATCTGTGAACGGCTCCACAAAGAAGGCATTGATACAGGTGGTGTGTGTTGTGTACATTCCCTTTCACGTTTAACATACACCGTCGGAGGCGAGACTGTACGTCTGCTGACGAATACATAGACCAGTCAGAGTCAACAGGTTTTCACTGTTGAATGACAGTAATGTCATTCAGAAATTCCAAGGACAACGTTCTTAATCTGTCAGCAAACAGTGCTGACGCACACACAGAAATGAGTCACTTTGCTGTGGTAAGTTTGAGAAAATCACATTTCCTTAAGGCCCCATTTAAACAACAAAGCTAGTTCCGTTCTCTTTCAAATACAATACTTAGTGCAGTTTTTTTTTCTTTTACCAACACAGAAAGCATCTTTGGGGGGGGGAGGGGCAGCAGTAGTTCTGAACCTGGGGATCAGCCCCCGAAAGATCATTTCTGAAATGTGTCAATGAAAAAAAAAGAATATGTAGAGCATTGAATTTAAAAAAAGATTTTTAAAAAATGCAAGCTTGCACGGGGGGGGGCACAAGAAGCTTGAGAACTACTACTCCAAACGTATAAGAGGCAAGCCTTAGCCTCGTGTTCCAACATGGAACAAATTATCACTCTGATTGGCAACGTGATGGATGAACTAATACCAGTCTGCCAGGGTAATTCAAAAGACAAAGTTGGCCCATCTTTGGAGCTGGATTCACTCAATGGGACTGTGATGAAAAGACTGAGAGAAACCCTCAGCTGGCACAGACAGGGGAATGGAGGGAGGGAGGGAGGGAGGGAGGGAGGGGTGCTCTGTGAATCTGCCCAAAGAGGAGGAGTTAAAGCTTTTGCTCAGCCCACACTGTGACTAACACCACATCTCCAGAAACACAAAGAGATCTTTGTCAAAGACACAGACAAACAAAGAGGATCCCCACAAGTAAATTACAAACAGCTCCATCAAGGACTCTTCACTCACCAGGAAGAAATATTAGCATCCGCCGATGAACCAGCCTCAAAAAAACGAAAACAATGAAAGCCTGTATAAGAGGACAAAACACACACACACACACACACGACTCCAAAAGAACAAACAGAAAGGTACAGTTAAGCATGATCACTATGTGCATCGGGAAATAGTCCAGTGGCGGACATGGTGCTGCATTCGTGATGAGTTAGTGTTATAGAATCACATTCATTGACGAGTCAGGAACCTCAGCTGATCAAGACGTACGAAGGTAAAACACGTGAAACACGTTATCGTGTTGAAGGTGCATAAAGGTGAACAAAGTATTTAAAAGCTTTCCCCCCCATCTCATTCTGTGAGTCAGCTTCATAATAATGAACCAAAACCCCCCGTTATAAAAAGAGGATATCACGCTCCTTAACAAACTTTCAGTTGTGAAAGAAATAGTTAAAAAAAAAAAAGCAGAGACATGAAGAAGGCTGGTAATTTCACCTAACTCCTATTGCTTCCTTTTTGAAAGGCGAATAAAGTGGTCAAAAAGCGTTTGATGTCAGAACAATACGAACATAATATCCAAGTATGGTATTGTTGCACATTATGATGGCTAGAATCTTCTATAAAATGCAGTTGAAGCACACAAATTCATCTCTAGCAGTAAAAACTCCCAGTGAATTCTTCATTACGACGGCTGCAGAGAAGAACGACCAATCCGGTGGCCAGTGAAGACCAGACCTGACCAAGACTTCTGTTTTTACTAAAATTCTTCAGTCCGGGCCGCTAGGAACACACAAGCAAACAAATATTTCTGACAACAAAAAAACAGTACTGAGTGATATAAGATGAGTATAAGAGCACACTGCTGCCAAGCGGCATTGTCTACGAGGCAGGTGTTTATCAGCCACTGTGGACCAGTGCACCAATCGTCATCGTCCACACTGGTTGGAAACTCCACAGGGGACAGCAGATAACAGATGGAAGTCCCAGGGTTGAGGCAGTGTCTTCAGTGTTTTGGTGTGTGTGCGTGTGTGTACGTAGGCCTTGAAGGCACAAATATCCAGTGTTATTCCAGGTTTCTCCCAGCTGGAGGGAGCCTCATTGGCAGCAGAGGTTTTCTATGACCAGCGTGACGTCAATGCCGTACACCTCCAGCAGGTCCATCAGGAAGGAGCGATCGCCCTGGGGATCCAGCCCCATGGCCCTCACATGCTCAGCAGTGAGGGTGGGATCAGCGCTCCCTGCTACCTCTGACAGGGTCTGGAAGATGCGGTTATTCAACTCCATGAAGAACCTACGACGAGATTAAAGACAGCTGCATCAGACTATGGTCCTCCGCATCACATTCCAATGACAAAAACCAACATTATAGTAGTGCTCTCCTCGCTGCCTGTGATTATGACTAGGTAGCAGGTGTGAATATTCTTGTCAAGGACTCACAGGATGAAAAGATCCTCTTCATTTGATGTGCAGTCTCCATCCACCTCCTGAGAGTACAGCAACATTTGCCTGGGGGAAAAAAAAAAGTCATCCTCTATCATGAAATCTGGAATAATTACGAGGATTTTCCTTGAAATACAACAAAACCTCACCAGCCAGTATTAATAAGCATCCGTGTTAATTCTGAGCCATATTTGTTTCATAATTAAACTATGGCCATAAGCCAATAACTACAATAAACTATGCACAATAATGATCATAAAATGGGAAATTTATATAAATATGAATTATCCCAATAATAAAATTATAGCCAATAACGTATCGATCCATAATACTAATAATTTATTTTGAATTCTTATGCAAAACAATATACATACTTTATGTTCTATTAAAGCCAAAGTAAATCAGCGCTATGCAATATTTAATCATCCATCTTTGCTCACTACATTTTACCCTCAGGTGTGCAGAAACTACAGGTTATGAACTTAAAAATTATGGTTAATTATTATTAAAAGCAGGTAATTATTGGTTATTAAAAAATCCATATTGTGCATCCTTACAATAAACATGATGCTATTTTAGCAGCGCTTCACAGTGTGTAGTTTACCTCTGTTCGCTCAGTTTCCTGTACTTCTCCTTATCCGCAGCATTCAGTCGGAGGAGCGGCTGCAAATGGCTTCTGTGCGTTTTCACATTCTGGTTGTCAATGTAGACATCGTACAGATCCTTCTTCTCCTCGAAGATCTTCTCGGTGGTGCCTTAAAAAAAATGATGAAAACGTGCTCATAAATAAAGGGTAATTTCCCTTCAGTTACAAATAGTGGTCAATTTACATGCAGTAAAGCTTCACTCACAGGCCACGTATGACATCTCTGTTTCCAGGGCGGGGATGTCGGCTATGTTGATGTAGAAGAAAGGCCGTAATTCAGGCACGGAGACACCAATTCCAGGTAAGGAGACATTGGCCAGGCAGCAACAGCAATACACTGAGGGAGAACAAAAACACATTGAATGAACCATCTCCATGGAAATGGAAAATAAAAGCTCACACGTAGGTTGCAACATTAAAATATTCTTTACAGCCTGAGCTGTTTGTGTGAGAGAAACAGTGTTACAACCGCAGATTAAATAGCACTTAAGTACAGCAACAGCGATTCAAAGGATGTGAGTGTGCGTAAGCATGTGTGTTTGAGCTTCTCACCCCTGTAGCAGACCACGCCTACAGGTGGAGGGGAGAAGATGAGGAGACGTTTCCTAAGCAGGGCAAACTTCCACAGCACCATTATCTGCTCCCCGAAAAACTGGATGAACTGGGACATGCAGCCAGCCGGGTGGGTGATCTGCAGGGAGCCAAAGAGTGACAAATAGGTTTTTTTTGTTGTTGTTGTTGTTGTTGTTCTGACTGAACAAATCTGCGATCAGCGACAATATAAAAGTGTGTCTTTCTGCTTTCAGACCTTCATTTCTGGGTGCATGCAGCGGTTGATGGTGGTAATACTCCAGGTTGGGCAGGCGGTGACCAGACCATTCCCTGTAGGGGGGAGGACAGCCTTCTTATCCTCATAGAAGGCCTCCAGTGGAGAATACTGGCCTGGACACTGCAACTGGTGTCTGCAAGGCAATGACAGGAGGAGGAGAAGAAGAGAGGAAGACAAATAATGTCAAGTATTTTCCAGATTTGTATACTGCTTGTATGTACTGCGTTATGCATATTCATAATCTGCACACTCGCAGCTCGGCAGTGTAATCTGAGTGATTTAAAGACAGTGACTAAAACCCTGTAGCTCTGAAATGATTCACTCAGTCACTATCTGTTACACAGTCTAGGTAGAAGTATTACTTATTTAGTATCAGACCCTATTTAGGTCATCTATAATGCACAATTGTGCTTGGTTAGTAACCATCACTTGCATTGTGGGATCATTTAAGGCCACTCGCATTACCTAAACGCCGCTTTTGTATTTGGTTTAACCACTTCAGCACTCTTAATTTACCATATAACCAACACCACTTGAGGCATCTGCTTGCTATTGTAGAGTGACGGTAAAGAGAAGCCACAGTACCCACGCATGAACTACAAGATAGATGACCAGACTGCATTCAGATCCACTTGCATTTAACGGTAACCTGAGCCAACTGTCATATATTTATACATATTCAATGAGGAGATAAGCTTTTCGTGAGAGGACTGAAGCAGAAGAGCAGAGTTACTGAAGAGAAGAAAAGCTGTCAAGGCCTCTTCCACTTTCGTGCTTAGACTTCATACAAAAAAACTGCATGTAAATGGGCTCCTGTGACGATAGCTGTAACTGGGACTCTGGGTTCATGTTTAATAGATGAGAAGGTTTTTTTTTTTTTTTTTAAATAAAGAAGGAAGGAGGAGAGGAGGTAGGCACATAAAGAGAAACCTGTGAACACGGCTGGGTGAGAAGTAAATAAGGTAAACAGAATACAGATAGGGTGCTGCACAGGTGACAAGAAAAGACTCGCACACACGTACACACACACACACGAGCACGACACTACATCTCTCACCTGACTTGGTTCTCCAAGAAGTGCATGTAGCGGTAGAGCAGAGTGTAGGAGGGAGACAGAATTCCCACAGACTTCATCCTCGCTCCTCGCTCCAGCTCACTCTCCACAGGCATGTTGGCAAAACAGGCCAGGCCAAAGTAAGAGCCTTTACGGAAATATCTAGCCAAGGGGGGCCAAACAAAGATCAGGAGTAAACACACAGTGACAGATTTCTGACTTAAACAGACACGTGATCCTCTAAAGACTGGATTTCATGCTCCTTGCTGGGTGTGCGTGCGTACATGAAGTCGTTGGTGATCCGATGGGAACCGCTGGCCATGGACTTGAATTCGACTCCGTCTAGGTTGATGTCGTGAGGCAGGCACCACTCTACCATATTCCCTGCCATTCACACACACAGAGAGAGAGAGAGAGAGAGAGAGAGAGAGAGAAAAGAAACCATGATGTTAGTTCCCACACTGCCAACTTTCATCCAGACCACTTCCCCTAATTCTGCATGTCTGACTCAGCAACTGTAACACTCACTGGTCTCTCCCATATATGAAGCACTGATATCCTGGCCTCGTTCTGAACTATTGATTGCATATCTAGTCTGTTTTGAACCAGAAATTTCTATCAAATTCTATATTAAATCTGATAGGTGGCTTTTATTCCAGCCTGGGCTTCTCAGTGACCCACTGCTGCATTTATGTTTGACAGTAGAAAGTTAATTTATTTGAGAACAGTTGCCCCACTAATAATAAATAATAATAAAGGCCATTATTCATTGTGAATTCATGTATTAGGGTCTTGAGATTTGAAATGTTTGACATCGGCGGATGCCAGCACACACCCTTCCCCATATCTGACCCAGTACAACGCACTAATGCGCATCAGACAGAGGAGACATTCAAAGAGAACAAGACATCATAACACAATCATTTAGGGAAATCTTCCAGATCTGCTCTAGTCCACGACCAGTTTAATTATGAGAGATAAAAGATTTGATGGTCTCGGCACGATCTGACGGCTCACCTGATCTCGTATCAAAGGTAACCACAAACACAGCCACGATCTGGTCTTTTTCCTCCCACTGATCCCTCACCGAGAGGCCGGGGAAGGGAACATGACGATCTGTACCGAGAGGCTGCGGGCGATCCCACCCGTGCCCAGAGAGCCCTGATCGCGGACGGCCCGGGCTCCCGTCCCTGCTGCCAACAACAGCTGTGAGATTCCTCGTCGGGCTGCAGGTGATGGTGGCGGTGGTGGCGGTGCTGCAGCCGCTGCTCCACCCAGTACCAGCCGCGATGCCCGTGGGTGCGCGACGCACGGCTGGCTGCGAACTTTTCTCCGGCGGTGCGTCTTCCTCCCGCGGCGGCGAAGGCGGCAGCGGCGGGGCCGTCTGGTTCGGATCGGGCGGTGGGATCTCCTCCCAGTCCAACAGCGGGGCTCGGTCCGACTGCTTCACCATGGTGCTGCTGTTGCCTCCGAGAACTCTGGAAGGGAGAAAAATATGACAAAAGTCCGCTGTCCGGTTGAATCGAGCACACTAAACACGCTGCTGGAGCCGGATCATGGTTTCCTGCTGCTTGCTGGGTTGTTTTCTATTTATTTGTAAGCGTGTCACATCCACTGACGAGCAGCTTCCCTCCTCCTGTCTCACTGTTTTGATGACGTCCCTGACTTCCGCCCACGTGTCTTTATTACTATTTTATACAATGACCTAATTTTTTGGGCTTTGGGATATTTATTTTGTCCATAATAATCCAGATTATTATAACATTAATATAAATATTCCGCTATAGTGATGGACTATTATATATCCCTTTATGGTATATTCATGTTATTTAGTTTTACTTTAAATATAAAAATGTGTAATTTTCTAGTGATTATATTATTCATAAGCATACATATATACAGTTTATAGTTAGATCTTCACAGATTTTATGGTAGCCGCCTAAAGTTGTTTACAATTAACTGCCAGGTGTGTGGTTTATGAACAATTCAGCCAATCAGAGAGCTAGAGGTGTTAACCCCGGTGGCACAGTTCATTTAATCAGGAAGTCATTTACATACAAGGCGCGAAATTCAAGCGTGGCGGTGGTGGAGGAAGGCGATCGTTCGTGAGTATACATGATAAACACACATTGTTACTCCAACTTTGAGCACATACTCTGTGTGTAACATCTGTAGAGCTTCCAGATAAGTCAGGAAATAACATCACAGCTGGAGTGGCGTGCTGCTTTCCAGTTGCCCTGCATGGTTTAGTGTGCAGGACGTCTTAAATCATAAGCAGCAAGTAATATTGACTCACTGATTGAGTTATGGGAGTAGAAGTCAAGTGTGCTTATGGGAGGAGTGACCTTGCATCATACTGGATACATGCAGGCCTGATGGTTTAGAGATTAAGAGAGTATAAGTAGCAAAACACATGTTTTATTTCCTCCTTTTATCCAGTATCTTCCAACATTGACTTAAATGCAGGCCTAATAATCTAAAGCATAACAACAACCCCCAAATAAAAAAAAATGAAATTCTTTTGCTCACTAAAGGCAATCAACTGCCAGATTAACCTTTTTAAAGGAAACCTTTGCCAAAACTCAGGCCCCAAGCATGGCGACGTTGTTTGACGGGATCAGCCAGCAGCTGGACTTCACTAGCTGTGGAGAGGAGGGGAGCAGCAGTGACAACAGCTCAGATGACTACACCTCCACGATCCACAGCCCCAGGATCAGGAGCCCCAGGATCCACAGTCCCAGGATCAGGAGCCCCCGGATCCACAGCCCTGCGTGCAGGACGCCGAGGGTGCAACGCCACCGCAGTAGAAACAACACCTTATCTTCCCCTTTACAGTGCACCAGCCCCATACCTTACGCTTCCTGGAAGAAACTGAGGCTGTGTGACTCTCCCAGCACACCCAAGGTGGAGAATAATTCACACTGATTGTCCTTAGTGTGCCCCCCTGTGGTCTTGGATGATTTTGTCAAAGTGGGTACCAAATGTCAAACCAGTGTTTAACTTCGGTGGGATTATTGCCTCTTGTTTGTCCCTTGCCTCCCCCCCATAGAGCCTCCTATCGAAATCATCCCATCCTTGCTCCAGCACCAAGATAAATCGCCAGAAGAGCCTGCGTTTCACATCAGCCGCTGCAAACCACATCCACGCACCTTCTGTCAATGTGAATCCTTTCACCCCCGACACAGTCCGCAGGAACAGCGAACAGCAGTGGAGCAACAGTTGTAGGAGTGATGATGATGACGACTATGGACGCAGGTAACCACTAATGAGTCTACTTGTATGATGGATGGCACATTAAGAATGAGAGCAAACATTTGAATGTCTTTATTGGCTGGTAGATTTCCCCCATGAAGCACTGAGGGTGAAAATGACATGGTCTGAATTCTCCATCTACCTGTTTTTACCCTTACACATAGGCCTGACGTTTTAAAATCCTTTCATAATGCAGTTTTGTTCAGTCTATAAAGGTCTAAAGGTCCTTTTTTTTATTTTTCAGGTTGAAACACAGCCTAACGTCATCTGAGGAGGATGATGAAGCCTTCCTCCCACCAAAGGTACAGCTATTTTTATCATTGCTTTCTGGTGGATGTAACCCTCCCTCTCAGATGCCTCTGATATGATTTCATCAGGCTTTGTCATCTTCGACTGCCTCCTCACTTCTTGTTTTGTACAAAATTACATGCTGCCAGCTCTACTTCCGGAATTTCTCTAAGGAATCTCCAGGAAAAAAAACAAAAACAAAAAAGCTGTCAGAATCTTCCACCATGTTTCTCGTAGAAGTATGACCATATTTGGTGACGCTTCATACATAAAGTCCTGGTTCTCCTGGCTGTAATCAAACTCAACACTGAGCCCTGTGACGTGTGTTCCTCCTTTAGAAATGTCTTTTGGTTTTACCACAAGGCCCTCCCGTCTGTTTATCTGGCAGAGACGAGCTGTCCAAGCCTTCATGCTGTCACGCTACGAGAGTGAGTTCCTGGAGCTGGAGTGCATTGGCGTGGGCGAGTTTGGGGCAGTTTACAAGTGTGTGAAGAGGCTGGACGGTTGCTTGTACGCCATAAAACGCTCTCGCCGGCCCCTGGCAGGCTCTGCCAACGAGTGAGTCAGCGAGCATGTCGTCTCTGCCAGAGATGGATCAGTCCACTTTGTTGATTTTGATCCTGAATTGACCTTTTTTTTTTTTTTTTTGTGTGTCCCCTCAGGCAGCTGGCCTTAAAGGAAGTGTACGCACATGCTGTTCTTGGGCACCACCCACATGTTGTTCGATATTATTCAGCATGGGCAGAAGACGATCACATGATTATTCAGAATGAATATTGTGATGGTAGGTTTCCCCTGACCATCAAAGGCACAGTTAAGTTAATACCTGAATTTGACTGAATGATGTGGTTGTGATACCCTCATTGTGTGTTCCAGGTGGAAGTCTCAGTGATGCCATCATAAAGAAGGAGGTGCAGGGTGAGCTGTTTTCAGAGGCCGAGTTGAAAGACCTGCTCTTACAAGTTTCTATGGGGTTGAAATACATCCACAGCTCAGGCCTTGTGCACCTGGACATCAAACCAAGTATGTCTCATTGAGCCGTTTGCATTTCTTATATTTTCCAGTCTTAAACCTGCAGTCTCTTTTTAATAAAGGAAAAAAACAAGAAAAACCTGCCTTGTTTCAACTCTTTGTAGGTAATATATTCATTTGCCAGCGTCCCAGCACAAGTGCCGCAGGCGAAGGGGAGAGTGAGGAGGAAGATGATGGAAGCACGTCAGCAGGAGTGATTTACAAAATTGGTATTCTATTTAATGTAAGATACATTTCTCTGCTTTAAATATTTGTTTGTCATCAACTCTGATTCTTGTTGTCTTCTGCAGGGGATCTGGGTCATGTGACATCAACCAACAGTCCTCAAGTCGAGGAAGGGGACAGCCGCTTTCTGGCCAGTGAGGTCCTGCATGAGGTATAAATGCTGCGTAACCATTAAAGGAGAAATACCCTCAGGGTCTCCTTTGGTTGTATCTCACTATAGGTGGAAAGAAAGAAAGAGAATTCATAGATCCAGTTGTATTTGCGTCATTTTGACTGTTTGTTTGTTTCAGCTGTATTTCTGCTCCTCAGGATTATAGCAACCTCCCCAAGGCAGACATCTTTGCTCTGGGCCTTACGATGCTGCTGGCAGCCGGCGCCCCTCCTCTGCCTCAAAATGGAGATGAGTGGCATAGTCTTAGAGAGGGGCAGCTCCCCAAACTGCCAAAGGAGTTATCGTCACCCTTCAGAGGCCTAATTCAGGTACTCTTATCTCTGGGCTGATGTTGTTGGATTTGATTTTTAAGCTGCCACTTGTATGAATAACAAAGCTTGTCACTAGCTTGTTGAAAATGCCCTTTTTTCAATTTATTTGTCAGTTGTTGCTGGATCCAGACCTGATGAAGCGTCCGTCTGCCAGGGAGCTTTGCAAACACACGGTCTTAAGGGAGGAGAGGACCGGGAGGGTGGCTGCTCAGCTACGCAGAGAGCTCAATGTAGAGAAGTTCAGGACGGCCATGCTTGAAAAGTAAGAGGAAAAGAATAAAGATTTCAGTCCTCGTCTAATTTTACCTTGTCTTTATTAAGTTAATAAATTGGTCCGACCACTTAAATACTACTTATTTCCATTTTTCTCCAGAGAGCTCCAGGAAGCTCGTCAGGCCGCTCTGTCACCAAAGCAGAGCCTCCCTCCTGGGCTGAAACCCCCTGCTCAGATGGGGTCTCTACCAAGAACTGGGAGGAGGCTTGTTGGCAGGAACACTGCACGATCCATGAGCTTGGGTTTTCCAGGGTATGTAGTCTGATGTAATGTGACTCCTCCTGCAACAATGTTATGATAAAAATGTACCGTGTCTTTTTCCTATGCAGCAAATAACTGGATGGACAATCCTATACGAGTCTACTGAGTGGCCGCAGCGTAAGTGAAGGACTGGAGAGCCTTGGACAGCATTGGTTTTAATGGACTAATCTGATTTTAAGTGATTTTCAATGGCTTGCAATTGCTGCAGACCAGTGTATTTAACCAATCAATGACTTGTGTTTTTTTTAATTGTAAATAAACATTTTAAGCATTTTATCAGATGGACTTTACTTGTATTATTTATTTCAGCTCTGAAACTCTTATCTCAGTGGTGTACTATGGAATGCAAAAAACACTTTCTTTCCTGTTCGGTTAAAGCCACAGCAGGGACTTTCCAGTGCTGTGTTGCTTATGTTATCTGCAACTGCAGCCAACTGTGTGACTGCGTCTATGGACAGTGACTGGGAGTGGACTTAGGAATAATGAGCTATCGTACTGTAAACTTATTGGTTGTGTTGCTGTAGGTCACATGCTTTCACTGTTTATGACAATGCTTCACTTTGGGTAGATGTGACCCGTTGTAAAATCCATTCAACCGTTAGTCACAAGTTATGTCAGTTTGGTTTAGTAAAAAATGCTGATGCCGTAACTGGATAAATCAAATACACGCAGGGAACACTATAGGCTATTTTATATGCCTTATCTTGGCAATTAGAGGAGGACTATATTCATTTTACTGTCTGTGTTCCAACTAACTACTTATTTATGTCTCCAATGTGGTAATCTAATGCAGTGAATCTTAACCTGGGGGTCCGGACCCCCCACTAGAGGTTGGCAAAGCTTCATAGGAGTAACAAGGCCTTCTTGATTTTATTTAATTTTTTAAAGTGTGCTAGCAAACTTAAATATACACAACTGGCCTATATCTCAGCATTTGGTAAACTTATGATAAGAACATTAAATGTGACTTGTCCAACAGTATGATAGTCAAGTGTCAGGGACAAGAAACCATTGAATTTATAAAAAACAAGATAAGTTTGCATGACTGTTAAAAATTATTAAAAAACAAAATGCAGACCGATTATTATATAAAAAAGTACAGAAAATAATCTGCTCACAATTCATCCAAATCACTTTTACAGAAACGTTTTGGAGTTACTGAGTTCACTATTTGTGTTCATTGTACGGTTCTGAATACAATATGAAACAACTGTCACTTAAGTAAAACTTAGGCTTACTAAATATAGATAGAAAAAAGGGTTGTGAACCACTGAAGATATATCGTGGGTTTTTTTTTTTTTTTTTTTTGCATGTGTGGAATTTCCTGTAAGTGAAGGCATCATGAGGCATTTAAGTGCCTCGTACGTGACTACCTCCACTGTTATTGTGCTGCTCACACCGACAGTAGCATCGCCGCCGTACTGGCTGTCCTCTGGAGCATCTCTAACCGAGCAACAGCTGTTTGTATGAAGTTAAAACCCGACTTACCCGGCACAAGAAACGACTGTGAGTAAAACCAGCCTCTCTTTAGCTACACATTCAGCAGTATGATGCAACTAATGTTTATTTTAAATAACTAAAGTGAGCGCCAGCTTATCTTTCTAGCTAACGTTAGCTTACTGGGTTTAACAGGAGCCGTTTAATTACAATAAATAAATAAATAAATATGTTCCAGCTTAGTTGTTGTTTTTGGTTCATCCCTTCTTGATTTCTAGCTGCTGACTCATGTGCCTGTTAAAAGTCTTGAAACTGAAAGTAAATCTCTTTCTATGTAAGTTTTGGTTAGCGTTGGTAAGTTTCACTACTTTCCCCCCTCCTCCTTTTGAAGAGTGAACACTGCTAACGCTTCCCTCCTCCTCTTCCTCCGTCTTCCTCCGTCTTCCTCTCTGCACTGAACAGGTCGAGATGGATGACCTGGGGAATCTGACCAGTCCCCAAACCGCCGCCCTGGTCGTGTTTGCCTTCCTTCAAGCAGACTGTAGGAACTCAGACTACAGAGAGGAGCTGTTCTCCCTGGGCCAGGAGGAGAATCTCATACGGGACATCAACTGCAATAACCCCCGGAGAGACCCCCGGAGAGACCCCCGGAGAGACTCTCCGGGCGATGGAGACCTTGAGACTGACGGTCATCTGGCCAGCTGCATCACAGACTCTCTGGGGGATATACTGCCTTCCGTGGAACTGCAGCTTCCCAGTGAGTAACACTACCACAAGGCTGGTTTGTGTCACAGTTTTCTGAAAGCAGATTGTAAGCTTGAATGTTGCTTGATGCATCAAAATAAATATGTGTGTGGTATGTGTGGCACACTCAAATCTGTAGTTTGACACACAGCTGTGTGTTCACAGTCCAGAAGTCAGAGTGCTGACACATCTGATAAGTTGTCTCCAGTTAAAGGAGCAAAAACAACTTGAAGACGTGAAGAAAAAGCAGGAAGTGAGCCGTCAACCATTTCATGTAATTGGTGTCTCTTGGTGGAAACTTGCATCCACATTCATGCATCTGTCACTTGGTTTACAGTGTGTGGTTTTAAACCTAGATTTATGTGTGCAACACAGCTAAAAAAAAAAAAAAAAAAAAGTGTGATGTTAAAAATAGATTGGACATTTCTGTTGGACCCAGATAACGTTTATGTCAACTTTAAGTCCTTTTAAGTCTTCTGATTGTCTTGTTCAGGGAACCACGCAGATGCAGCAGCCATACAGCTGGTTGCAGAAGGACTGAGAGAAATTGCAGCCCACTTTGAACACAACCGTTCTGTGGCTCAGGCTACCCACAACCTGCAGCAGAACATAATGGCCGTCCCCTCTAAGGTGAGTCTGGGCCCAGTGTGAAATATAAAATCAGTGGAGCTACACATTTGAGTTCTGTAACATATAAACACGTGTATATACTGAGATTATCTAGATTAAGGTTATTAAACCCCACATTGCATCAGGTTTTTAAAGTCATGATGTTGACAGATTGTACCCAGAGTATAGTCCTCGTGTGCTGACTGATAACCTTTTGGTTCATTTGGGCTTTGCAGCCGTGGAAAGACTACCTTACCCAGGAAGTGGACAGGCTGATAAACCAGGGCGTGGGTCTGGAGCATCTAGCCCAGGAGCGAGTCATCGCTGCCCTCGCTCTCACCCTGGTGAAGGGGGTGTGCGAGCAGGCCCCTCACCTGTTGAGGAACCTCTTCAACACGGCACTGCAGTACATTAGCTCTGCGTTATCCAGATGACTGTTGAGCTTGCAGGCTGAGAGAAAAATTACTTGGAATACAGCTAATTCTGAAACTATCTGCCCATGACCAGTCGACCGTGAGATGAGCTGCTGTGTTTGTCTAACAGAAGTGAGAACACTTTTCAAATGAAAGAAAGTGATGTTGAATTATCATAGTTTGAAAACAATTTGTTTGTGACACTTGAATTTGTTTCATTCCGTTATGTGCTTAGAATCGCATTGCCTCAGTTGACTGTTAACTTTCTTTATATACTTGAATTACACAATTACTTATTATTCAGTTAATTTACTTTTGGCATTTACATGTATGTCTATTGTGTCACTTGAATAAATATATTTTTCTTGGGATTTGAGTTTCATTTCAATAAATTTTGTGAGATTGCTTTTTATATTCCTTATATTAATCATACAATACCACATTTAAACAAGAAAAAAAAAAAACACAGAAAAGGTACTCAAATAGTTTAATTCTTTTTTTAATTCTCATCTTAAACAGTGTTGTAGGAAACTCAAGGTACAAAGTGTCATGTTTGGGACCTTTTAACACCCATCCTGCTCTGTACTTTTAACAGTTTCCCTTTGGAAGCAGGCTGTTTGAGTCTGTGAGTATTACTATGAGTAACACCCACATTGGAAACATCCCTTCTGTATCAAGGAAGACGATATCTGTCCAACACCACAGTGATGCAGCTTACTGCGACATCCCCAAATTCTCAAAGAACATATCCACGTTGTGATGAGGCAGCAGTGAGGGCAAAACTTTGTCACCTTAAGTATTTATCATGTCTTACTGACACGACTAATGACTGAGGGGCAGGGTAACTAATTTTACGTCTAACTTGAACGTGGGGAGGCCAGAGTACGTTCCACCACAGCTAACATTTTGTCTTAAAACTCCTACTCCTACAACTGTAGTGCATGTTGGCTCATTAGTAACCACAGAGGTTTCGCTAGCTGGGTAATGTATGCAAAACTAATTTCACAGGAACAAGAGCTTGAGTGCGTCTGTCAGGGGTCTCCAACACAGAGCTTGTTCTGTAATCTTGATCTAAACATTTTTTCTGAATAAAGTTGCAAGGGGGTGTACAGATGGGTCCCATTGTGTCTTAACATTTAAATTCATTACTCTTACATTTTTATTATTTATTTGTATTTGTCGCACTGTTTGACTTGCTATTTATATTCTGACATGTCAAATAAAGGAGGTACTCCCACACACCGTCTCACTTGCTGCTGAATAGACAGACACATGGTGTAAACAGGAAAACATATTTTTCAGCAGCAAGCGAAACTGTGTGTGGGAGTTTTCAAAATGAATCAAATAAAAAAAAATTGACACTAGCCTTTTATTACATGTTATATCTGCAATTCCAGATCTAAGCAGTTCAACCCTGTATATGGAAATGACTAAAGGTGAAACTATACACTGCTATGTTACTCTATTGAAATCATAAATTTAACATGGATGCATGTGAAGTACACAGAGGAGCCCTTCTGACAATGTTCTCCCTTCAGGCAGCCCTCAGGCTGGAGACCCCTGGTCTATATGAACAGGATTTTTATGCACATGTGAAACACTACAAACAGGTTGACACTCTGAAGAACCAATTTTTGCCTTTAATACCTCACAGTGGCGCACCAACTCATATTCTACTCCGGGAGGGTATGAGTTCAGATCTAAGGGGACAGTCACTGGGACAGATGCAACTGTCATAAGGAAGTTGTGGCAAGGGTCGGGTACGTTATGAGCGGTGGAGCAGTAATAGAAAAAGGGTACAGAGCAAAATACAGAGGCCGAGACAAAAGACACCTGGCAGAAATGGAAAGAAACTGCAGAGTGAAAGTTTACTGTGGAAGAGAAGTTACCCATCCATCCATTCAATCATTAAATCCATTTACATTTAAAGGGATGACTGAATTTATGCACTGCAGTCACATTCCTGCTACTCTCCTTGTCTGAAGTAATACTGCTCACTATGGCAGGGTAAACATAAGCAGTGGCTGACATTAAAAAAAGTACTGTATGCCACCTTATACTGAGACTGAAAATCCATTGTAACAAGAAGTAATGCCTTGCTACATTTTTTTTTAACCTTCACAGTATATTCAGATTTACATACTGATAAAGCATGATTGATGTATCATTTCTACAAATGCAGCAGCAGCACTGGACCATAGGAAACGGTTAAATTTACTTTCATCCATTATTGGGCAAAATCTATGTTTCAATACACAAAAACTAAAAACGGGCTGCAGGTGAACGGATACAAATCCCTTGTGCAATATATAAAGATGGAACATACAGGTCGAACATAATATGCCTGTTCTGTATCAGAAGGAGTTTCAAACTGACACATAAAAATCTAAATTACTGGTTTCATTTCCATATTATACAGTTGATTTATCAGAGGGAGGGTGGGGGGTATAAATAAATGTGAAAGAGAAAGTGATAAAAAACCTTTAGTCACATAGCAACAGAAAACGTGGTTTACAGTGACTTTTCCATGGAAGTAACTGACGTAAATGACACAAAACAATTCAAAACAGTGAGCCACAGACACATTCAGTGGAAGTAGCAGAGATGGGATAAAAGTTCACCAACTTTCCAATCGAAGAAATGAATGGCTTGAGAATTTAAACACAAAACAGCCCAAAAAGGGTTGAGAGAGGGAAGAAGAAAAAAAAAACATGAAAAATAAGGAGAGGAGTGGAGTGCATTGGTGCAGGGAAGCAGCCAGGACTCCCAGCAGTAAGGTTGTGGATGACGTGAGATTTTTGTTTGCTTGGGGTGGGTGGGGATTTTCACAGATTTGAAACCTTCAATAGCATAGCAGATTATTTTTTTTTGTCTTTTTGTTTTTTTTAAACGCAGCCTCCACCTTTGTAAGGAGAGTCCCACCTTGTGTACTATTACATTTATTTCTACCTTAACATCTTGTAATTTCCATTCTCCTTCCCTGACAAGGACACTCTTCTACTTCCTCCTGAAGCTTATGACGCCGTACGCCATTACAGCAGCGAGGACCACCAGTGCAGCACCTCCGTAAAGCAGCACTGGGAGCTCTGATGCTGGCTCCGGCTGCACTGGCTGCTCCTCAGCAGGGGCTTCTACGGGGGCCTCAAGGACAGGGGGTGCAGCCTCCGGCTCTGCCACAGTCTCTGGTTCTGGCTGGAGAGGCACTGCGTCGGGCTCCGGCTCCTGTTCCGGTTCAGGAGCTGGTTCTGAGGTGGTTTCTAGCTCTGCTGGTGCTGCAGGGATTTCCTTGGGTAGAGAAGGGGGTTCCACCACGGCAGGCACTGGGGCGGGGGCGGAAGCTGGTTCTGGCTCAGGCTCTGGTTCTACTGCGGGAACAGATAAAATGACTGGACAGGCAAAGATTTCTGGCTCAGGCTCTGGTTCTACTGCAGGAACAGATACAGGTATTGGACAGGCAAAGATTTCTGGCTCAGATCGAGGGGGTAGAGCAGCTTCTAGGACCAGCATTGGTTCTGAGGAGACGAGGCAGGGCTCTGCCGACAAGACTGCAGGTGTCTCTATTACAACTGGCTCCTCTAATGAAAGCAGGGAGGCCGGGGCTGTGGAGTCTCCCTCGGCTGACACTGGAACAGGTGGAGTCTGGTCCCTAAATTCTTCCCTGAGCTCAGCCAGCTCGCTCTCTGTGCCCAAAACACTCATCATGCTTTCTTCTATCGCTCCGCCCTCGCCGCCTTCCTCGAGCAGCTCGGCCTCCTCGCGCTCAACGTGGACGATGTCGGAGTTCGAGGAGTTGTTCTCGCTGCGCTCCTCGGCCAGAGCCACGCCCTCATTACTGTCCAGACTCTTGACGTCTTCAGGGTCCATCACACCAACCTGTGCCCAAGACTCGTGGCCGGCCAGAGACACAGGTAAGCTTTCCGTCTGCCAGGAGCTCTGCTCACTGCTGTTGTCTCCAGTGCAGAGCAGCGAGGAGGGGGGGCTCAGCTGGTCTGGATGCTGCTCCCCTGAGAGGATGTAAATGTCGTTGCTGTCTTCAGCGATGGCCACACCTCGCTCCTCCTCTGACTCAAGGCTGAATATTTCACCCTGCGGTAGACAGAGACAGGGATGTTGACATTCTGTGTACAGAGAAAGCTGAGGTGGTCTGAGTAATAGCTAGTAATGGTTTGGGTGCAACATAATGGAGGATTATTTCACACATAAATACAATCAACAGAGAAATTATATAAAGTCAAAAAATTGAAGCAAACAGTCCATTTTTAATACAGTTTAAACTGGACAATGCTGCAAAACACTGTTTACACTTTAAAAGAGCTTTTAAACTGACACTTAAGCTTCCAACGTGCAGCAGTCTACAGTACACGCTGCACTGTTTTCCATCTCAACTTAGCCTCATATGCCACCTAGTGGTATGCAGCCACTAACCAACAAGAGCTCAGGAACCATCTGCAAAGCTTTCCTGTTATGCAACAGGCATATCGTTTGATCATGTGGGTATGAGTAACTGACATAGAGGTCAGCTTGCTGAAGCAAAATATGTTGAGATAAATCAAACTGTAGAGTGTCCTGAACTAAATACACATGTGACCTCAAAATATTAAAACGTTTTCCCAAAGCTACTTTTTCATGCCATCTGCAAGGGACAAAAATAAAAGTGTAGCAAGAGAGAGCAGTCTTATCCATCAATTTGCTGAGCGTGCACTGATGTGCAGCAGAATCTACAGTATGTGGCAAACAGGTCAGTGAGTGTTCATAATGAGTGCAAACAAGCTAGACATACCAAAAAGCTCAGTGTTAATAAGATGTTGCACTGGGTGGCAGGTTGCTGCACTTTCATTTTATCCTCTCAAACTCTCCAACAGCAAAATCCTAACACCGCCCCCAGAAAAGCCCCACGAATCCAAGTTTAAACAGGCTTATAAATGAAATGATGATCAAACCCTTTCTCTCCAGTAGCTGCTGTCGTCCTTAATGCTATACAACAACACTCCAGTCTGCAGCCACGCTAGCGGCTATTGTGAGGCTGTACTACCACTAACTTCAGCATGCCAACACACTCACAGTGACAGTGGCAGCATGCTAATGTTTAGTGTTTTGGCATGCTAACATTAGCTACTTGGCGTGAAACAGAATGTACAGGTAAGGCTGAATGCCAAAGTGGTGGACCGATCGACCAACACGCTAGCCACAGAGCCATATCGTTATCATAGCACAGCCAAAACAGTCACATCTGTCTGAGCATCTGGCCGATGACACAGTAGGATCTGGGTTTACGGATAAGGAACCAAGCTTGATGGGTCGAAGTTAAATGTAATCTGTCATAGGTTTCCACGCATGTCACACAGGTGTGACCTGAACGGACGAGATTCAAACCGACAATGGGAGGGTATGCAGAGGTGTCTGTGTGCGTGTGTGCAACCGACAGACAGGTTCTGACAGCAGAGACTAACTCCCAAGGCAACACCGTCTTATTTGAGGACATGAAAATACATAATTCTGAACTTCTGACCACCAATCTGCATCTGATCCACACAACTGAGCAAGCATACAGCATGTTAACCGTTATTGACCTATGTAAATGTGATTTTTAAATGAGATGGTCAAGCTGTGAAGGTTATTTTCCTTACAAGGACACTCACATGGCAGCTGCATCCTGGGACGCAGGAAAGAGATTAAATCTAACAGTGTTCCATCGTTATCCAACATTTGCTTCCTCCATAAGCTGATTTGCATGTGGGAGAGCAAGAGGGTTTCACCAAACCGATGCCCTCTGTACAGGCTACCCATCAGCTGGACAGAGCCGGACAGAGGTGCCATGTGGTATAAAATCCACAGCAAAAGGTTGCTGATGGCATTCAGGAGCAACGACGACAATCAATCCTTCTCCTGTATTTGCAGATGGAAGTTTCTACTGATCCAACATTCTCACTGATTTTATATCTAAAATGACATTTGTCCTCAAAAAGAAGGGACACTGAGGGAAAATGATGTACACAAGAAGTGGGTGTCCCAACCTTAACTGCACAGATAAACAGTTTCTTACATAACTTCTCGTGCTGGTTGACGTCAAAAAGGAGGCACTATGAATAATAGTAAAACTTCTCTGCACAAACTATGAACAATCAAAAATGATCAACACAAAAATAACTTTTACCTGCATCAATAATTGAACAAAGAATAAACAATGAGAACCAACCTGAGGAGGCAATCCACTCTGAATTAGCTCCATATTTGTCTTTTAATGCTCCGTGTTGTCCTACAGCACTGCTGAAGCTGGGAAACACACTAACCTGAACTAAGTGTTTAGTTGTCAGGTGTGTTCTACAGTTCTCCACCCTCGCCCGGGGGGAAAATACACACTACATAAAACAAAGACACATTCCTGCATTCAAGCTAAAGGTGTACAGCCTTTTCCCTCTCACACAACATTACACTGCTCAGATATTAAAGACTGAATCTGACAAGGTATCCCTGACATCGGTGGGACGAGTAACAAGACCCTTTAAAAGATCTCTAAACATAATGAGGTTGTGGGAGAAGAAAACAGCTGCTGCATTTTTGGGACAGTAACACGTACTTGTTACATTTGCACATGACTGCCACATATTGTCAGCACTTGCAAATCCAAACATTAGATCTGAGATGTTACAAAAGGCACGCTTTCCACATCAACAAAAACCCACAAGAATCCGAATAATGCTGCAACCCAGTGGCATTTTGATCAATGTGATGCTTGACATTCATGAGGATTATATCATCACTGTTCCTAATGGACAAGCACTGTAAGAGGTCACACAGCAGCTGACCAAGTTAAGTGAAACCCAGGACTGAGAGGGACTGCTAGACTGCTCATCGGCATCTAATTGTACCTTTAATTTAAAAAAAAAATGTGATTAGTATTTCAGTTAAATCACCTTATTGTCACCCAGAAGGGTTAAACAGGCTGTGACTAGTGCTCTGTCACATTGAGATACATGCAAAATGACTTTGGAGGAACTTCTCTTCATGTTTTACATACTTAACTACAATATCTACTGTACACATCTCCATCAACACACAATCAATCAATCAACCAATCAAACCTTGTTATAGAAGAATACTGTCAATCACTCACTGTACATTCTTGGCATGTATTTATATTCAAACATGTTCAGACAAACCATTTAATACAGGAGCCCAGACAAGCTGAGGACTGATGGTGTGTATAGATTCCGATAACTTTGGGAGCGGCTTGGGCAAACTCCTCTTTGAAGTAGTGTGCTGTTGATGCGCAGCTACACAGTTTGCATCAGTAAATATTGGTTTTTGGCTAGTCATCATTAACAGTGTTGTGGCAGCAGTGACACTGACGGATAAAAGGAAGGACAGTGATGTGATGGATGTATGCCCTGTTTAAACCGTGGCAGTCGGCCCCTGTGCTGCTGCTGTACTGTGTTTTTTAGCAAGCTACAAGTGGGCCAGTCAAGCCCCTGGTGGTGATGTTTTTGGAGGATTATGGGAGTTATTTTTGGGGCTTCCTCAGCCTGCACAGACAATCTACTCTAGTCCAGTTTTATGTCGATGCAGTGGCATGGTGATGCTCGTTTTTCACCCTGGCGCTGGCGAGAGGGTTCTTACATAAGAGTGGGGAGCACTGTTGCACAGTGTGCAGCGTGACGTGTCCTGACACAGCCTAGGTTGGAACCCTCACAGAACCTTGTCCTTAAAATATCATCACTGTTCCGAATAAGCAGCAGCTACAGTCAGTATAAAACTGCAGGCCTGTACAAGTGTCTTTATTGCCTTTTAAGATATGCTGCTTTGACTATTAATCTATCAAATATACTGCAGTCAAATGATGTACGTCTTCATTATCTCTTTGCTAAGAGGTCAGGTGGAATTGTCCGTGTGCCACTTTTAAACCTCAGGAGTCGCGTTACATCACACTCACAAGTACAATAATATGAAATGACACACTCAGTCCTCATGCAGCAGTTTTCACTGTCAAACGCTGAAGGACAATTGTCTCTGACCGCCAAAAGCATGCAAGCATACGAACTGACAGACAGACAGGAGACAGGCTGTGAACAAACTATTAGAGACAACCAACACTGGTTGGTGTACAGGCACTAAAGTACAACCACAGACCTTTTTCACAGCAGCCATTTTTACATGAAATAGTTGGGTAATCACAGGTGTTACCGATGACCGTAATCAATCAAGGTTCGGTTTCATTTAGTGTATCAGAGCCTTTCCAGTGAGCCAACACGCACAATAGCAGCACCCTGACACTGTTGGTGCTCTTCCACTAAACAAGCGCTGGTTCTTTAACCGGTGCTGTTCAATATTCGGGAACCCTGGTGCTTTCTAACGAACCAGCCCGCGTCTCCGACAGTTTTGAGCGGAATCATCGTAATCGCATGCGTCATCAACAGAGGTCGTTGAACAATGCACAATGGCCTGTAGAATATGACACGCCCACTTTGGTTCCCAAGGAAAACCTGTTCATTTTTGGTTCCAGCTGGCAATTATTCAGGTTCAAAATGTTCCGTACGATTCAGAACTGTCCCTGTAACTTTAAAATGTTTATATAAATAAAATAAATTAATATCATTGGTAACACGTGTTTATCCTATTATTTCCTTTCAAAATGGCTGCTGTGAAAAGGTCTATTCTACTATACAGTTTTTTTGTACATCTCCTTTATTTTAGGATCTCTTTCACCATGTAGACTAATTTTTTTACTCACCACCCCCCCTTGTCCTCCTCCTACCCGCCCCTGGCTGTGCTTGGTCTGGCTGCTGGTTTTGTTCATGCCAAGTGAAGTGTACACCACATTAGAGTCATTATAATCCTTATTGTATTCTGATGTAACTGACAAAGGCATTATGAGAGCCACCCAAACACGGTGCCTCACTTACACTACAGTCACACCAATGTCCTGGAAGAGGCGAAGACACCGGTACAAATTTTGTGCATTTCAGATGTCTTGTGTGTCGTTTTGACAATAAAATGGAGGAACGGATTAATAAATGAGATACATATTGTAAAGAAAACACGTTTCTGCTCTCCATTTTTGTTCCTCATTCGGTAGCAATTAGCAATTTTTTATATTTTATGTTCATTGCTCTGTTAAATACACATTGCATGGAATGAGCGACAATAGTACATAATAATTACTGTGCTATAATAACAGTATGTTTACATGCAAAGAACTGCAAATGTTGACCTATTGGGCTGCCGAGAGTTTGTCGCTGCTGCACAGTCACTCGCACGCACACATCCATTCCAATGAGCTCACTCTGTGGCTGCTTCATCATCACAAGCAAAACATCCTACCTCAACGTGAAGGCTCAAAAACCGCTGCTTTCACTTGAATAGACACAACTCAAGTTGTAGAGATGGGGTGGATGGAGGAACCCAGTTGAAGAGAAGTGTGCATGCAGGCAGCTGTCAAACTAAAGGAGATTTCACTTCGCTCTCATTGGCTCACCATGCCCCCCCCCGCTTCTTTTCTCCCTCATCTCTAACCCCTCCCTCCTTCATATTCCCTCCCTCCCTATTGCCGGTCTCATGCAATCTCTCTCCGTCTCCTCCTTTCTCTTCACCCGTCCATTGCTGATCCTGCCCAAGCCGTTCATCTGTTCATCCCCTGTGACATAACGCGGCGCAATAAATGTATCTTTGTTAGGAGGCAGCGTGCTACTTTCACGTTATGTTGCGCGAAACCTGCAGAGCAGAGCATCATGGCAATGAGGTCATGGCAACCAGAGCGATGGTTAACAAAGTCATGTGACCCTTCATGACCTCATTCATCTGTGACGCAGTGTTCCATTTATTACAACAATGGACGATAAAACCCGTATAAAACACAAGAACAGTCGTACTTGGAAAAGTTGCATGCCTGTGATAATACAAACAGAGAGAAAATCATATGGGAAGATATTCGTTCTGTCCCTTCATTTGCATGAGGAAACAGCACACTGGAGTCGCTTTATATCAGGGTTTTTTTTCACCTGAGGACGTATTTGTCACAATTTGCACAAAGAGTTCATGTTGTGGAGTGTTGAAATTAAAGTAAATTGTCCTCAAATACAGGAAAAAAAATGTTCCCTCTAATTTCTGAATAATGCTGCAACCCAGTGGCATTTTGATCAATGTGATGCTCGACATTCATGAGGATTATGTCATCACGGTTCATAACGGACAAGCACTGTAAGAGGTCACACAGCAGCTGACCAAGTTAAGTGAAACCCAGGACTGAGAGGGACTGCTAGACTGCTCGTCTGCATCTAATGGTACCTTTAATTTCCTCAAAATTAGATTAGGATTTAAGTTAAACCAACTTATTGTCACCCAGAAGGGTTAAACAGGCTGTGGCTAGTGCTCTGTCACATTGAGATACATGCAATATGACACTTCTCTCCATGTTTTACATACTTAACTACAATATCTACTGTACACAGCTCCATCAACACACAATCAAACCTTGTTATAGAAAAATACTGTCACTCACGCTCACTGTACATTCTTGGCATGTATTTATATTCGAATATGTTCAGACAAACCATTTAAAACAGAAGCCCAGACAAGCTGAGGACTGATGGTGTTTATAATGTACACATCCCCATCAACACACAATCAATCAATCAAAACCAGTTTTCACCTGAGGATGTATTAGTCACAATTTGCATAACTGATGTACTGCCAGGATTACTTTTAATTAAAAAGCCACATCTCATGTAAGAGAAATACTTCTTGGTCAACACTATGATTGAATGTCCTGAACAGATGGCTGTTTTACACGACCACAAAGTAGGTTATGTGGTGCATTCGACTTCTGGCTTTTAAATGTAGTTATTATACTACTGAAAACAATGTATTGCAGTGATTACAGTTAAATACAGTCAGTTTATTTATGTAGATCATCTGTTGAGCATTTATGTCATAACTATTACAGTAAGATGGGTTTTAAGCTGGCGTATGGTAATGTGGTGGTTGTAGCTCACAAAGGAACAGGACCGTGGAGTCTGGGGTACAAAACATCTGTACAGGAAGCTCACCGACGCCCTCATCTGGCTATTTTGAGTTCTGTGCATCTATTTTGAGGATGGCATTTTTTCTGTTCACTGTGCACTACATTCCAACTCCCTGTTCCATCCATGCCACCTCTGCACAACCTTGAAGAATATTTAGCAACTAAGAAGCACCAAGTCGTTGCTGCCTTTCATTATTCAAATAACTTATACTCTTATACTTCCCCCTTTCTATGGTATTACTAGTTTTGTAACTGTTAAAGAAATAACAGGGCACAGAGCAGTGGTAGCAGCAATTTTGAATTCCAGGTGACTTCATTATAAAATAGAAGTAAAAGCATAATGTTTGAACTCCATCACAGGGTTTAAGGACTCACCCATCCCCCTTGCTGGATGATGTAGCCAGCTTCATCCTCCTCTAGGAAGCGCACCCCCAGATTCAACAGCGTTGTCAGTGACTGGCCCTCGCTTTGTAAAGCCTGAAGCAGCACCAAAGGCACTATCACCTGGGAGAGAGGAGAGGGGGAGAAGAAGTTAAGGGGGGGAGGGGGAAAAGTAAGAAAAGCAGCGGGGATAAAAAAGTTGCACCTTTTGCATGTCCTGAGCAATCCATCATTTCTTTAAATGTGGGCTTTGCATATAGAGGACAAATTAAACCCACCTTGCTCCAGTCTCCCTGTGTGTGTGTTGAGAGATCCAGTGCCGTTTCTCTGAATCTCTGGTAATCCAGAGGCCTGAAACACACACAGACATCATCCCTGCTGTTACACACAAGCGGTTTAGGAAATATTAAAATGTGCCTAGAGTCCAAAAATTATTATTATCGAAGACACACAATAACCTGTATCCCACATTTTTGTCCACCCGCCAAGAGCTGCTAAAAAGCTTATTGCTTCTGAACGTGTCACACTTTTTCTTTGTATATCGAGGATTTTCTGTTACCTGCCTTCATGGAGTCAGATCTAACCTTCCTCCTGGATGTGTTATGTTACTTTCTATATACTGTAAATGCTTGTATTCTAACATGAAGATGGCAGCCATGCTTCAAATAAAGGCTTTTACTATAGTCACAAATTTGTGTGCCTGGGTTTTCTTCCTTTTTTGTACGACTGTATGTGTGAGGGGGAGTTCCCTGAGCATGAATCGTCTTTGTTCTGATCTGTTCAGTTACACAAAGTCACAGTTAGAAGTCGTCCAGTACAACTGCAGTCTTATCTGTTGGCCACAGAGCAACACCACTGGGGCAGCTGTGGATTTTGCTGATACATATTTCTAGGTTGGGAATTGCCTCCTAAATGTTACACACTGTACCTTTAAATGCAAACCTTTCAATCAGCCCTTTTCCCCTCATTTGACTACAGAATCAAAAGGTAAAGTAAGTGGTAAAGTTTAAGAGTTCACTAAGGAGAAAATGAACTAAGAACCAGTATATCAACATTGACTTTGTCATTCCACTGAGACTGAGAGGTCTCACTCTGTGAGCACACACATTTTCCACATACTGTATGCATACAGTGTAAAAATAGCCATCAGTGCTAAATAGTGTGGTTGCTGAACTCACCCCCATAGTTCTGTTTTCATGTGAAACTTTTGGATTAACCATTTGTATGCAGCCATCATCTCAAAGCAGTGATGCTGATTAAGCGTCGCTTTTGTCAAGGAGATCTCACATAAACATGTACATCAGTGAACTACCAGATATTGTGGAAGTCAGAGAGCAGCAAACTGACCCTGCGAGGAGTGTGTGTACGGCTGCTGCCAGGTGTGTGTCAAGCTCTCCGGCCACCCGGTCTCCCACTGCGGCAAGGCAGTCTTCAATAGAACTCTCTGGGTTGGCTGGATTAAACACCAGCGATGTGTGTCGGTCGAAGCCTGTAGTGGAAAAGGCTGCAAACACACAGAGCACAGGACAGAATGATATCTCAGGCAGGCAGTGTAGTTATTACTTATTTTATCTGCATTGCCAGAAAAGAAAAAGTTAAGGTAGTAACAGTTGATTTTAAAATGAAACTCTGATAACAATTTATAAAATCCAGAATGCACATTTTGAAAGACTCTGTGAGGCTATTACAAAAGTTTGGGTTATTTATTAGCTCTCCAAGAAGCACGAATGACCGTCCCACACACCTCCTGTGAAAGAACGTTGTCGGGGAAAGGATGGATCCTAAACTGGACTCACACCAAACCATCATTCAAAAAAAAAGGAGTGGGAATAAAGAACCGGTTCCAAATTGTCCAATCCATCAGAATCGTATGCCAAGGAATTACACGTATTTGACACTACGAGTACCTCTGCTTCTCAACTGAGCAGCGTGTGCTTTACAGGGGGTAAATATCCTGTTATAATATATAACAGACTTTTTTTCTTTGAGTAAGAAAACCTTAATATAAAACGAATGCTAGGGATCAGAATTGAGAACCGGTTCCAAATTAAACAGAAGTTAAAGAGTGGCGCTTTGGCACGCCTGAGTCACATGCACGCATTTCTTCTACTCTATTCCTACACGGCGTTCCGACTCAGGCACAATAAGACAGAAAATTGATAATAAGGGAATTAATAAAAATTGGTCCAATAAGCAGAATCAATAAAATCGTATTAATGGACCTTTTTCAGAGCAGCCATTTGACATGAAATAGTAGGGTAATCACAGGTGTTACCAATGATACTAACTACGGTTCTTTTACCCTATTATTTCAGGTCAAATGGCCGCCGTGAAAAAAGTCAATTCCCACCCTTATTCAAATTGCTCACATACTAAAGTCACACAGGAGCAAGGACGGAGGTCTGGGGCAACACATGCTACTCAGAGACCTGTGGTTATGTAACACAACCAAAGTCCTCTTTCAAAGCATGCATTTCATTTCATGTTTTACTCTGACAAATAATCTCTTCTGGACTCTTTTGCACAGGCAGAACACCTGTCTGCGTGACACACAGAAAAAGCCAGAGATACAACAGAGAAATAAAAATGTGTGTGTGTGTGTGTGTGTGTGTCCACTTACAGGCAGCGATTTCATCTTCCAGTTGTCTCAGCTCTTCTTCTATCTGCTCTTTAATCACTGTGGTCCTCTCTCTCTCATTCTGGGCATCACCTAATAGAGACAAACACGTGACGAATGAACCAACTGACTCTCTCTCCCCCTCTCACACACTCTTCACAAAGACTATACAGCACCTTATTACACAAGACCACTCAATAAAAGCAATTTACGATGTAATTTCTGTTGATGCATATCAACTGCATATTTGTAGTGTGTGACAGTTCTCTCTCTCTTTTTTAAGATCTCTTTAATCTGATAAAAGGAAGAAAAAAAATACAATTTGTAGAGACTTTAAGATAAGCATGAACTGTACAGCTGTATTATGTAGGATAAAAATAATATAAGAAACATGGGACTATATTTTGGTTTAGTCCTGACTCTAGAATAATGAGTCCAATGATGCCTGCACATAGCACGACACTAAACACACACAGTTTGCCCAACAAACCAGTTTGTGCATGTATAAACCGTAACTCTCCTGGAGGGGGTTGAAATGTTTGCATGCTGAGGCGCACCTACAGTTCTATGTACTACCATTTACTTTTAAGTCATTCATTTACTTCTCCTCAGCTGGAAGTTGCTGGACCCCAAAGGGAAAGGCAGACAGAATAGTGCGCTCTCAATCAGTAAATTATTTACAAGATTCAGTCTACACTGCTGAGAGCATAATGAACCTGGCAAGGGGCAAAACTGACACAAAGGCTGTATTACTGTGTTGATTTTGTAATGTTATGTGTTATAATGATAATGGTTACGGTGTATTAACACAATGTAAAGCTTTTGCTGGCCCCCACAAAGAGTAGCTGCTGCGATGCTGTAGCTAAAGGGGATCCTAATAAACTAAGCAAATTCTGAATGCAGCCATTCAGCTTATAAAGATCCAGCAGTCACTTGATAAGAAAGTGTGGCACTGGTTATTTCCACAGTACCACTCCATTGCTTTAAGTATTAGTCTTTATTGATTTAACAGCTGACTGATATGATTTTTCCAATAAATGTTTTCATGACAAAAATCAAACACTGACTGTGTTTTAGCAGGAAGGAAGAGGACACTCAGTAAACCCCTGCTCTATTATGTGCGTGTCCCTGCAGCTCATACATGAACGCCCAGAGGACCCGCTGTTGGTTTTTTCCTGGGCTCGGTGCTGTTTCAGCACTGAGCCAGACAGCTAGCCGGCCAACTATTCTGCTTTGGTCCGCTGGCGTGTGAGTGATCCTATGGTGATTACATTTGACAGGCTGTCAGAAATTGGACTGGGTCAAGCGGAAAGCAGGGATCAGCCACTCCTCTGCCTTTCTCCGCCCATTCCAAGCGTGCACACAACAATAAAAATGGACAGGAAATGCAGAGAACTTCCCCTCTCTCTTTTGTACCGTCTCTCCTTCTGCTTTTCTTGCTCAAACTGGATGGAGTCATTATTGTTGGAGAAACTATTTACAAATGTGAGTGCAGAGTATCTCAACCTGTGCGTGTAATCAGATTTATAAATGTGTTCAAATAAATACTCAGATCTGTATTAAGTGATTGCAAGTATTGGTCTATTCCGGACATATCGGAATATATGCAAATGAAAACTGTTTTATTTCTGTATATAATGCACAAAGTTTACAATTCTGTGTCAAGCAGCACAGAGTAAGAGAGAAGAAGCAGCTCCCAGCAATGTCACCAAGAATTGTTTGACAATGTATATGTTAAATGATTTAACTTAAATATTCTTTAATAAAGTTATCTGTTTAAGAAAGCAGCCCTCTGAGTACCTTTGCATAGCCATATTAGTGCTAAATTGGTGCACAATCCACACAGATACAAAACTGTATTGGCCACAATATCAGTAATCAGTGAAGCTTTCCCCCCTAAAATCAGCTTGCTCCAAGAGCTGGAAAAGTGTCAAAGTGACGCTTTGTGCAGACGGTCAGCAAATTTAGGAAACTTGGGATCCTGGTTTTGCATCCTAACAATACAATACAATACAATACAATACAATACAACACAAAAGGTGTTTGCTTTTGGCCTGTGGCCCACCATTAAGCTTTGGTTTTGGCCCACCAAAGGAAAAAGGTTGGACACTCCTGGTCTATCATTTCTTCCATCCTACTTTAGATGAAGCCAGGAAAATGATGAGAAAGAGATATCAGAAAGTGAATTTGATGAATTTACCGATTATCAGACCACAAATGGGACAAGAATTAGGTTGTAAAAATGATAGATGCTGCTGGAGTGGGCCTCGCTGATCACTGTCCAAAAAAAAAAAAACTTTATTCACTGATCTTGGAGAAATTGAATCATGTTTTATAACACCACAGACTGTTCAAATTCAGTGCCTCATATCACCATTCTCCAATATGCCATTGAGGCTTTTGGCAAACAGGAGTGGGTGTGGATGGTTTGTTAGAACAGAACAAGACTCTTGCGTGATCTTGGGATTTCGTGACCTCACGAGTCCTGCTGCCGAGCAAGGTTAGCAGATCTCTGCCACAGCAGAAGTGTTGCAAGGGTCACGTGTAAACAGACAGCCAACTGAGAGAGCCCCTGAGTGGTATTCCAGCTCTTAGAGCAAAAGCCATTAATATCTATGGTACCTATACAGATTTACTTACACATTAAAGATCTATATATACACATTTACAGATTGTTTACACATTTAAATCTTTATTCATTTTAAAATGGTCCTCCTGCAAAACTGTCTTACCTTCCAAGTGGGATGTTTCTCATCAATAAAGAGTCATTTCACCACTAAACACACTGCGGCTGTGACTTCACTGCACACAGTAAGCGCTATGACATGTTAGTGGCTAGTGTGGGATTTAGTTAAACACATAATTCCTCTAACAGCACATAACATACACAGATTCAGAATTACTAACAACTATGGGTCAAACACTGTTAAAAAAACACTCCACTGTGTTCTTTTTTGCATGCCAGACAAATAAAACAGAAAAACAGGAATGCTTCAAGCCTCAGGTCATGGCACAAGACTGCTTTGAGAGAGTCTGTAAAGGCAGAGTGGACTTCAGCAACTTTGGACAGCATACTGGAAGCACTGAGCTTATAGGGAGTCTGAAATGGCATGCATTTGTTTACATTTGTTTACATTTGTTTACAGGCTACTTGGTAACTATCACATTTCAATGGGCACACCAGCCTCTGTACGCGTCTCCGTGCCAATGCCAGGGACGGCCAAACTGAGCCGGTGAACAGGTGGCAACCTGCCTACACACGCTAAATATTTTACTGCCATGTGTTCATGTGCACACAACTCTATTTGTGTGCTGTGTGAATGTACAAGTGTGAGGGGTGCCTTAGGATACCCTAATGTGTCACACACACGAAGAGACTATAGGAAGCACTAAATCAGGGTGTCCTTGACAGTGGTTGCACTCCAGCGAGCAGCGTGCCCCTTCAGGACGGACTACATTCAGAAAGCTGAGTCTTTCTTCTCACCTTGAGCTGTGGTTGGGGCCTGTGATCTACCCACAGGAAGCATTCCCAGGTAGTTGAGCACAATGTACTTGGTTTCATAATGGAAATCCTCAGGCACAGTGGCGGCGGTGATGGAGGCAGAGGAGGTGGAGCCTGAGGTAGCCATTGAACAGACGTGTGTCAGACTCTCAGGCACATAAGTTCTTACAGTCAAAGCTGGACGTCTCACCTGAAGAAGAGGACACATATTTCAATGGAGGAGAATTCATTTAATGATTCAATTCGACAATCATGATCGCAGCAGGAGGGAATCCACATCAGACAATCTGAACAGACGTGTCATTAAACAATGTCTCCCTCAGTGTCAGTGTCCTAAACCTATTGTGACAGGTGGACATGTCCACTTACCCATCTGGCAAATGTCTGCTCACTGATCACTATATGTAATCACTGTTGTATCTGGGACTGCATGAGATACGCCCAAGACATGTCTATCTCCTTGGACAAGTACGTTTTGTACCTACATCAGGACACTATTGAACTTACATAACACACGTGGTGGACAAAGGGGCGTGAAAGGTCCTTCAATGTGAGTCTTTTAAAACAAATGCTTTAAACACTGCTCTGCTGTTCTGGATAGCAAACCAGTGTTTCCAAAACTCAGTGACTAGTAAACGTTAAATCCGAGTTATTAGGCTCTTCAACCCTCCGGAGACGAGCTGACACCATGCGGTCCAAAAAAAAGTGAGATTAATGTCAAGTTCGCCGAATTAAGGAGTAAAAACTTCCGGCTTAAAACTATCAAAGTAAAACCTATTGCTGACTTAAAAAGCGCTCGCAATCCGAGAAATATCAAAGTTGAAATTAAATTATTATAACGAGTGTGGTAATTAAGTAAAATAATGTCCTAAAATGACAGCATGGCTCCAAAATAAGACTACAAGATAACGTTTTAACGAGATAATAAATAACCCACACATATAGCTCGCTGATAATTAGCTACCTGACATATTATTAAACTACATAAACATCTGCCACAAAAGGTTTTTTTATGTGTTTGTAAGTTAAAACGAGCCGCTGCTGGAACATCCCAGAAACACATGCAAGCTATAGCTAGCTCAACGCCACACGTTTTTTGCGTGCTATTTCGGACACGCAAAACTTAATTTGAACTAAAGTGGAGCCCAGCGAGAGTCCAATTTCTTACCGTCCTTGTCCAAAGGCAACCAGGTGCTGACACACGACAAGTAGAAGGGGAAATAACGCGACACGGTGCCCTGCAGCAGTAGACCACCACTGGATTACTAGCACAGTGTGTGCCTTTGGAAGCTATTCAAGTTAGCGACAATATGGCACCGACGCTTCCTGTTGTGACCTTCAAAATAAGACTCTCGTTTAGGTGAAATTCGTGCACTGGTGAAAGTGTGCGCTGGAACATTAATTGTGTAAATTACAAGTTTAAATAACGTGAAATGTACACTTTTATATTTATAAACGTCAAAGATGGAAGATTAGATAGATTCAGTCAGACTCTACAACACCTGATCAATGTTGTAGTTTCTGTTTTGTTTTTTTTCAAATTTCAAATAACCACCATACCATTGTTTAGTTTTTATCATAGTTTTTTATATCTGTATTTATTTATTTCAAGTAATTGCTGCTGTGGCAAGGATATTTATAAAGTAATACAATACACAGTTATTCAATAGCATTAGTGAAGTAGTGATGTTATGGGGTTAGATTTGTAACTATTTGACACATTATTTGATTGCAAGTTATAAGTTTTGTTTTTGAAATTAGTTTTATGTTCTCTCAAATTCCTATTTTTGTTTGTTTCTTTTGGCACAAATCTAATTCCATATGATGTTAATAGTATTTTGCCTCCAGTAAAATATCTGAAATGCAGCGTTGGGAGGGTTACTTTAAAATTTTAATCCAATATAATTGCTAATTACCTAATTAAGTAACGAAACTTGATTGCTTCCCGTTACTTTTGGATTACTTCAACACTAAATATGCCAATAAAGATGAGAAGATGAAAGTATTTATTTAAGTGTATAGATAGATAGATAGATAGATAGATAGATAGATAGATAGATAGATAGATAGATTTTTATTCATCCTCAAGGGGAAATTCCCATATATACTATATATGCTAAGGCAAAACACATGTATTTTAAAATTGTAATCCTGCTCCTGACATTAGGAGGAGAGAGGCGCCCTTTCCTCACAGCTATGAACAGGTGTATTATTTTGAAAAATGATAACCGGATGTTCTGCTCCGTGCTGTCCAACTGGCGACGAGCAGCAGGACCGAGAACACTTTAAATAATTTAACTTTAAAATAAACACATTTACCGCTTTCAGACATGGCGCTCACCGACGCACACGTACAGAAACAGGTAATAAAGAAGACAACGGTAGACTCGTAGTCAACTGTTTTAAGCTTTAACTACGTTTATATTACTTATAGTTTAATAATAACTTTAGGTTCGGTTAACATAACTAACGGTTAACGGTCAACGGTTAACGCTGGCTAACCGTTAGCACGTTATTTACGCACTAAGTAGCTCCTCTAACTGTCGACGTTGGTATTAAACGTTAAATTACCGTTAAATTAACGTTAAATTACCGTTTAATTAACGTTAAATTTTAATGTTATATGAGTTTTCGGTTACTTGGTCAAACTTATTGGTAACGTTTAGGTTCATATTTAAGGAGTAAACGAGATTATTTAAATTATTTCCCATGCTGAAGAACATTTTAAACTATGAATTTGTTTGTTTGTTAACATTTAGACATTTTAACAAACTTTAACATTTTAAAATGACATTTTGTTGTTTTCTCTTGTGGCAGATCAGGCAAATGGTGGCCTTCATTGACCAAGAGGCCCAAGAGAAAATAGAAGAAATTGATGCTAAGGTAATTGAAGCCTGTCAGACAGTCTTGTGATTTTATTTATGTGTTGTTTTTTGTGTGTGTGTGTGTGTGTGTGTGTGTGTGTGTGATGGGCATTGTCACACACACACAGCCATCTGTTTACAGGCGGAGGAAGAGTTCAACATTGAGAAAGGTCGTCTGGTGCAGACCCAGCGGGTGAAAATCATGGAATACTATGAGAAGAAGGAAAAGCAGATCGAGCAGCACAAGAAAATGTGAGTTTTTGGTCGTTGCCAGTCGAGGAAAGAGCAGTTTTATCTTCCACTGCATGAGACGGAGGCAGTCTTGATAATTTAATCCCTTCTTACAAGATATATTTGGTTTTTTTTCCCCAAACCTTTTGTTGCTCTGTCGCCTTTGTTTCTTTGCTATCTGTGCTTCCTGGGTCCGGATCTTTAGTCTCTTTGCACAAATGTCTCCATGTTTGCCTCTTGTGGATCTTGTGAATCCAGTTTGTCTGCAGTTAATTTACTCATTTACTTTTTCCTTCCTCTCTCTCTCTCTCTCTCTCTCTCCTCAGCCAGATGTCCAACCTGGCGAACCAGGCGAGGCTGAAGGTGCTGAAGGCCCGCGACGAGATGATCACGGTTAGAGATCAGCGCTCGTATCTTGAACGCATTCGGTTGTATGTTACACAGCTGACGCAGAAACGTGACAGCGTGGAATTTAAACTAATTTAAATTCATCTGTTTTCTACCCCCTGCTTCAGGATTTGTTGAATGAGGCTCGTCAAAGACTTGCAGAGATTGCCAAAGACCCTGCTCGGTACTCTACCCTGTTAGAGGGCCTGGTGCTTCAGGTAGATCCTCCACCTGCTCTCATGGGGAGGGTATAGCTAATCGACAGCTGATCGGTTTGTTGGTTCTCCGTGTTCTCCGTACTCTCTGAGTTTGTCCCTTTCACTTTTCAGGGATTCTATCGACTGCTGGAACCTAAAGTTACCGTTCGCTGCCGACAGCAGGATGTAGAAATGGTTCAGGTGAGGTTGAGCTGACTGTAAGTTGTGATTATTGTAAGACGTTAGGAGAGCGCAGGGCATTACAAGCATCCTTGGTTGCATTCATAATGGATGACAGTGTGTTTTATAAGTGTTTTATTGCCCGACAGGCTGCAGTTAATACGAACATCCCTATCTACAAAGAGGCTGTGAAGAGCAACATAGTCGTCACAATCGACCAGAAACGTTTTCTTCCATCAGAGATGTAAAATGATTTAACACACTTTAACTTTAATTCTTTCTGTAAAACGTATTTTTTTTCTTGTTTGAAAAGATGTAATTAAGCCGAGTGTCTATCTACTCTTTGTTTTACCAGCTGCGGAGGAGTTGAAGTATATAATGATAATGGGAAGATCAAGGTTTCCAACACTTTGGAGAGCAGGATAGAACTTATCGCACAACAGGTAGAGTAACTTTGATGATCTATCTGAAATCTAAATCATCATTCAAGACCTCAAAAACACACCAAATGTAGTTTCTGCTGTTTGCCTGTGGAGGGCGGCACAGCCCACTGGGTTCTCCAGTGAGTCCAATTATCTCAAGTTAGGACAGTAAGAAAATTATTTAGATAATTCAGGCAAGACTGTCACGCTACACACACATTTGCTATACTTTAATTGGGTGTTACTTCATTGAGTAATCTGTTTAAGAAGGGGGAAACACTGATTCTTGTTCATGCTTTGTGTTTAGAGTACCTGCTCTTCTCGCAGAGTTTGTTTTGAGCATTCATCCCAAAGTTCCTGCTTCCTACACACAGCTGCATCCTGTAGAAAAATACTTTTTTAATCTAATTATGTATGTGCGCAAAGAAAAACTAGGCCTTTTTTTTCACCTCCGTCCCAAACCGAAATAAAAATGTAATCATAAATGGTCCCAACTATAAAAAGGCTAGAAATCTATCGATAATATGCATGGCATGAATAAATAATGATATTATGAATTATAAATCAGCTCTTTTCTAAATTAAAACTTTTGTTACACATGAATATTAATTCATTTATCCATAAATATGAATCAGCAGGGTGTTAGTGTAACATCTGTAAACTTTAAGTTAACTTTTTTTCTTTGTTTACCTGTGTGGTCGCCATGGTCACCACTCCCAGATGGACTTTATAAGTGGCTTAGAGCCGTGATAGGTGCATTACTTTCAGACGTCGCTGTCCCAGTTTTATTTTTCTATAGGTTTGATCCACCTTCCTTCCCACTATCGTCACAAAATGTATTTTTTATCATGCCTGGGACGGCGGGACAACCTTCAGTTAGAGCCCTGGGAAACTTTTTCCCTAGTTTGCCGATAAGAACTCTCTCAGTTTTAGCATGTGACTTCTGGGATATTTTGTTACCAGCTTCATCCTTGGAGATTGTAGGGAGGTTCAGGTCAACTACAGCGTGTTTGAATCACCTGTTTGTCTTTTAGAATATTAGATACGGTAATAAGATATATTATTGCAGAAAAGAAAAAAGATAAAATGTTTCTCTACGAATTTACTGAAGTAATTTATAATCCAGGCCACATCCGTTCCCATTCAGTTTCTTGTGTGTACTTACTTGTATCCTGACTTTACACCTGACAGATGATGCCTGAGATCAGAGCGAACTTGTTTGGTGCCAACCCCAACCGCAAGTTCACGGATTAACGGTGGATTTGAAGAGAGCAGTGCAGACATGGGTGGAAGTGCCATCTGATTTTACGTCTCCAGGGATTGTCTAAAGGACTGCTTTAAATTGCAATGGCATTGCAAAGATGTATTCCTGCCGTTGTTTTGGGAAATCTGTTGCTCTACTACTTGATTACAGTAATCAAAGCTACATATTTAGGTCACCAAAGATACACATTCACACAATTAGTCTACATTTTCTGTAGATATAATGAGATTGATTATCTGGTATGTTGATTTTTGTGTAACATTCAGGAGGGTCTATTGGCAGAAATGGAATATAATGTTCATAGGTATGTTTTCGTTAGTGTATAATCATTTTTATGTACAGACGCCGCAGGTCGCCTTCCATGGAGTCTACTGGCTGTAGATAGGGTTTGCAGTGTTTTTCACAAGTTTTGTGGCCACAGTAGTTTCTCCTACACACTTCATTACCGGGTTGTCAAAAACATGCGCGAGTAGTGTTCATTTAGATAGAATCTGCCTTGCCTGTGTGGGTTTGCGCACAGTGAAGTGATGTTTACTATTCTTCTGAAGAACTTAACGTACAACAACCAAAGGAATAAATGTGCGTGACACAGAAGTCAACATGTATGAGATATCTTTATTTACAGCTTGTAAACAAACAGTTTACTCAGGCTATGTTCGCTCTACAATGAGGACAATGTAGTAGCCTAGGTACACTAGCCACATCAAAATGTGTCTTGCATTAAAAATGTAAAAAAAAAAAAATGCTTTTAGTGCCACCCGATGGACTTAAGTAATGGCAAACAGTTGGCAAGACAAGGTGCCATACTCCCTCCATGGGTCTAACAAATACAATTGTCCTTGCTAAAATCGACTCAAGTACCAAATCAATGTTTCAACACCACCAATTCCACTGAATTCATTTAAGACTTACAGTTTTGATGCTTTAGAAACTATCAGCATTGATAAGGCTTTAATTGCATTTTTTCCTTTTTGTTATTGTGCGTACATCATTTGAAGCAACATGTTCTTATATGTAACTAAGCAGTAAAACCAGCCAAAGGCTTCTCACAGGTTTTTATTAAAACCCTCCCAAGCTGTGGAGAAGGGGAAGTCAAGGCGACGAGATTGAGGCCCAGCAGTCTAACCTGTGGCCTGTAGGCAGGAAGTGAGCGGTGTGTTAGGGTATATTGTACGCTAATACAGAGATTAAAGCATTACCATCAGATTAACAAGTGACCTTAGAGACACTGGCAGGCAGCACCTCCCAATCCAGTGGAGGAATCCAAGATTACAACTCAGACCTCACGGATGGAGGCGGGAGGAATGCGTAACAGGGTTGGCAGAAGGAGATCTAGCTCCTTTTCCAGAGGAACACATCAAACATTGAAATATATATATATATATGATTGGCGTTTGAAGTCGAGCCAAATACCCATTGCAGGCTCTTCACATCAAACGTACTCTAATATTAAGCTTTTGATAAAGATTGAAAGGGGAATTTGTCACTTACATAGGATGATGCACAGTTCTTCGTCGGTAGGCATTTTAGTTAGCAGCCTCAAACAACATGCAGCAGCTCCCTCTTAACAACCACACATTACAATCTCCCTCAGGGGAAAAGGAACAGCCACAGACATATTGTAGCAAGCACACAGGGATAACCCAGACAACTTGGGACACAGACCCTCAGATTAGTCACACACATACACAGGACCCTGTTAAACCTACGGAACCCTGCTGACGGCATGTAAAAACCTAGAGAAACGTGATTAGTGTGAACACATCGGGTCCACGTATTAGTAAATACAGCCTCCTCATGTTTCAGACCCCCTTCCTCTTCCTTTTGGTTTGTGGCTCTCTGTATTCACCTTTCACTCAGTTGTCATTCACTGCAGATTAAAGCAGCAAATTGTACAGAGACAACACAACCACCGCCACCGCTGCCAAGCCCCACTATTCCAGCAAACCTAACACCGCCTCCCCTACCCCAAGAAAGTAGACAACCTGGGCAATACCAAAAAGAGGGGCGATGACTAAAGCGCGACACGTTGCACCCTTCAGGAATGCTGCCGGGCCCTCCCGCCTCAAGATGCGCCTGCAAAAGTACACAGGAAGAAAATGTTTCAAGGCTCTTTACACTTATGAATATTAAAGCAACAAAAGTTCTGTTACAGACTGAAAATCTTACCGTGTGCAGTCAATAATCCCTCTGTATGTGTCCTCCCCCTCACCTTTCTGCAAGGTCTGCAGGCGAGTCTTTATGACTGTATAGGCATTTAAAACACAAAAGGTGCTGTCAGTACATTACATCAACTCAGAGATAACAACATAATGGTAAATGCTAACATCTAGTTTAATAGTTACACAAGTAAAGAAGTCAAAAAGTCGGTGAATTGACTCAGTGATGTGTCTGAAATCACTCCCTACCTGAATTCTGAGTGTGTACATTCAGTCACAATATAGTTCCCTCATGTCATGTACACTACTTTCTGCTAATAATACAAATGATAATGATAAGTAATTGTCCGAAATCTTGTTTTATATGGAGTATATATTGAGTGTCTATAAATAGGGGAGCAATCAATGAGTGAACAAGCGAGTGGTTTCAGTCACAGTCAGTATCTGTCAAAAATGTGCTGACCTGAGCTAACCTGAGCGACCACAAGCTACTGGTCACACCAGACTGAGTGAGGCTGGAGCAACAAAACCTTTGAGTTTATTGAACTGAGCAAGGTTGCGTTTTTAAAAAAGTTACATCATTTTGCTATAAAATATTTCATTAAAGACCCCACCCCACCTCCTATCCTGCCATTTCTCTTACTTTGTCTGTTTCTTTCTCCCACTCACCATCCAATGGTGTTACAGCCACAGCTGCCACTGAGCCTGCGGTGCAGCCTGCCACAAAGGACTGCCAGAATGGCGCCCGGGTCTGCACATTACCCACTTTTTCCACACCCAGTGCATTTAGGTTGGCGAACAATGGGAAGTAGATCATTGAGAAGGGGACATCCCTGAAAAATATGATTTTAAGTAATGGTTCGATTAAATGAAATGGAGAGGAAAGAGAGAGAGAGAGTGCTGTATTACTATTATTATTATTATTATTATTATTATTATTATTATTAAGTAAGGCCGTCCCTCCAGGATTTTGCTGGCTTTTTGGGGGGTTTGTTGGGGCCTGAATGCCTGATTTTATTGCAGCTTTTCTAAAAAATTGTGATGCTTTTAAGCATTTTTATACAATGCAATTGCATGAGAAAGTTAAACTAGCAAAAACAAAGTTGGGATTATTGTTATTTTTGTGTCATTCATTAAAAATCAAAGGCAACTTGTTCTTGTTAGTCTACAATCACAATTGCTGATTGGACAAAATTGTGAGGTTGTGAAGAATTTGTGTTATTTGTTGTGATCGCAGCTTCCTGGTGGGACGGGCAATGAGAAAGAAACGGGAAAAGAAAGTGGGAGAGGGTGAAGTCACAACAGAGAAGCAGGGACAGAGAAAGAGACGTGGCCTTATTCAACTGCAGTAGAGCAGCCAGACATTGCTGCAGGGAACTATTGATCAGTGTTGATTGGCAGAGGTGTCAGGAAATACAACAAACACAGTATGAGTTATGCAATATAAAATCAACTCTTTAAAGCGGTGATGACTGTTAGGTCAATGAAGGGAGAGGCAGAGCTGTAGAACAGAAGCAGCTGTGACTGGTCATGTACCTGATATTTTTAAAGGTTTCCAACATAGAACAAAGTATAAAAAGCATCATGACACAGACTGAATGACACCAGAGAGAGCAAGAAGATAATCAATTATAATGGACACCAGAAACAAACTGGAAGAAGTATTTCTGGAATTCAAAAATCATTGAAAATGACTGAGTATGCGTTTCACAGTAAGTCACTATGTATTGCCTCTGCTTCAGTACTTTTTACTTGTAAAATAGTAAGTAAATGCATACATGTACATTAAAAGTAAGAAAAATACACATTTCATGTATTGTGAGTAAGTGTGTGAGTGTGTCTGTTAATGTCTTTGTGTGTGTGTGTGACCTCATTAAGGTGGCTCCTGCCCCTCTGTAGAGGCCTGCCAGTCCACGAGTCTTCAAAAGCTCCACAGTGATGCCGGTGGCTGAGGGCCGAGGGGGCTGGCTCGGTCGTGCTGGTGGGGGGGCCACCAACGATGGAGCTGGACCAGGAGCAGCCGCCTGAGCCGGAGTTGGAACAGGCCTCTGGGCAGCTGATAGTCAAACACAGACTGTCCCAGGTTACAAAAACACATGCAGGCTGATGTAACCGTGCAGCCATCACTGTGAATGTTTTTATGACTTAACTGCTTTTTTATATTTTTATTTTATTTTCATCCTTTTACACGGATATACATTTTGACACAGTTTTACAAGGACAAAAGCATTAAATCACAGACTCACCGAGCCTTCCTGCATCCTGCAGCTGGATCTTCAGCATCTCCATGGGAGTGGTGACTACCACCTGGCATGTCCCAGCCCCACACCCTGCCAGTACCTCCCCCCACAGGGGCAAATGCCTGGGAACACAATAGAGTATACAGGTATAAAGCATTAACAAGAGTTAGGAGGAGGATTTATAGGAGTAAATACACAAGCTTGAGTATATTTTTAGAACTCCTGACAGGAGTTTGTTTATTTGCCAGATTTTTCCCACACACTGGGAAAATGATGTAATACAGGAGATACATCACAATAATTTAAAGTTATTTAAAACTAGGTTAAAGATTGGCATGTTTGGTTTCATGACACAAAAGAACACGCAATTTTTACTAATACCAATTAGTTAAAAGAATCCCAAATGAAAAACTGCTTTTTTCTCCCACATATTTCACTGCACTTAATACACTATACAGTAGCTCACGGTGATGGCATTCAACAACAGTGACCAAAAATCCTCCAAACAAAACCAACTCTTCACTTATTTTAACTCATTAATGTTATATTAGTTTACTGTAGTAACCTTTCTTTCAAATCTAATATAATTTAACATCACTCTATGTCTCATGATAGATCATTGAAGGACAAAAATCAAAGTACCCATCCCTGGAGAGCTTCTGTCTGAAGATGTCATTGGCAGCCAGCTTGATGGCTTTTTCTGGTGTGACAAGAGTGAGGTTCACTGCTGCACCTGGAAAACACAAACAGGCCGATGACAGTGACATCCAACAGTTACCACTGCGGTACACAAATAGAACACACCTACACAGCAGCTTATGGCTCACCACCGTGGCCTAATAGCAGCGGACACTCGTTATTATGATGAAAAGATTTAAGGGCTCACAAGAGAAACAACAGCGTAGGTGGCCGGATTAAGCTTATAGTAAAGCACACTTATAGTGTTGTTTGTCCCGGGGATTAGAAATGCAAAGAATACCTCTGTAGCATCCAAAATAGCCCTCTGAGCGAATCGTCTTTGCCAGGCAATCCAGCCTTCAAAAGACAAAAAGAATACAACTGACATTTTATCTGTTTTTCATATGTTGTGTAAAGTCAGTAGAACTACACTATTACAATGTTTATTATTCATCATTGACTGTACTGACAGAGATTTAGCTCAAACCAGTAGTATTATTTTTCATTTATAAACATCATCCCCAGCCTGTCCTTTGCCCAGATACACCATGACCCTCTATCCCGTCCCAACAACAAACTGGACAGAGACCAGTGGTATGTGCAACTGTGTGAGCTGTTCTGTTTAGAAATTCTCATTCAAAGAACAGGAAAATAAAATCCAACCACGAAATTGAGCATTGAAGGGAGTTATCCAGTCTATTTTTCCATCTCTGACTCACAGTGGAAAACCACAGTCTGAAATGTTTGAACACAGGATGGCCACGCCCAATCAGCCAGCAATATTGATGCCCACCAGATGTGCGTAGTTAAAAAAAATCAGGCTCAGTGTCTTTTAAGGACACAGTCTTTCTCCCTGCACCTCTTGTTCCTGATTAAAACTTTAAAATGGGAAATTGTTGTAGTGCATTTGAGGGAACATTAGTCAGATTTTTAAAATAGATCAGTGCATACAATTCCACAATTCAAAGTTCAGAAACACACACTGTATACAGCCAATCCCCTAATATGATCCCCTGAGTGAGTTTTGTACAAACTGACTAAAACACTGGACCAAATATGGGAAGAGTGTGTTAGCTGTAGTGCTCCACCCTCTAAGATTCAGTGGAAAAGTATGTGAGTCGGCATAATCAAAATAATTCGGACTTGTTTGTAGCTGAAATTACAGAGTGCAGTTAACCAGGAAGCATATTTAACACCATCACCAACAGATAGGTTGTAAAGATTTATGGTTTAGAGACTTTGCCATTGGTTTTACATACATGTAAATACATTTGTCTGCCGCCCATCTAAATATAAAGATGAATTTAATGCCTGTTTTTCAATAACAAAATCATCCAGGGATGCTGAGAGAAAAAAGAATGTGTTAATATGAAAGCCCTTATCAGATCAATGACAGTAGCGGGTTAACTCTGGCCAGGGGAGCCCTACTCACATTCCTTTGTAGACTTGGACGCCCTGCTGGTTCTGTAGGCGGGTCTTGGCCAGGTCAATAGGAAATACACATGTCACACCAACCAGGCCTGCCACGCCCCCATTAATCAGCTTAGCAGGGAGGCTGCGAAGGGATCAACATAGACACGCACACATGCATGCACGGACCCATGTAAGCGCGGTCACCAACACAAGCCATGCAAGTGACGCATCCATTCATGGACAAAGATACAAATAAAGTGGACACACACACACACACACACACAAAGAGACCAACATTAACACAGCTGCTGCTTCCACTTAATGAATCCACTTTGCCTCGTCTTAATTAAGCTAAACAAAAGATACTTACCTAACTTTCTTCTCCGCCATCCTGCTAGCGTTTGGGCTCCAGGCCCACCACTCCTCTCCTCCTCCTCCTCCTCCTCCTCCACCTACTCCTCCTCCTCTTCGTCTTCCTTTTCCTCTTCCTCTTCCCCTTCACACTTTGGCACGCAGCCCAAAGTTGTCACCGTAGCTCAGCTCTTACCTGTCCACCAACGCTACAAATGAAGCTCACTGCTTCTCTTAATGTGTCAGCACTGGACTGCCTTCTTCTCCTTCCTCTCCCCGGTACAGCAGGGGTGGACGCCCTTTTTTTCTGTCGTGGCCAAAACCACTGGTGTTGGATCTGTGTCTTCTGGCCAGCCTTTCTGCTTTGCTGTACCTCACACCAAATACCTAATCTCACTCCCACTGTCTGGAAACACAAAACACACGCAGTTAATATGGATTAAATCCTTCTAAAGAGTACAAGTGAGAGCAAGGGTTCTCTATTCTCAATTACACGTAGGTATGGTCTTTCTCAAAGCCCTGCTGAATAGACATTTGTGATGGTAGGCGGGTGTAGTTGTGATGGAGGATTGACAACTCATATTAGCTATCACGGTCTATGAAATCCAGATTTTAGTCATTCATAAATGTGAATAGCGGCATATCCCAGGACTACCACGCTGAGACAGAACATCTTGAGTCTCTCTAATCTGCCAGCTAAAAGGGATAAGAGTATTTGATCTAGCAAGGAGGGCAGACCTGAAAATTAGGGGCTTACCGGTATTCTTTTACCGCATTTGGAATCCAGCATTTACAAAAGACTGGAAAAGAGATTTGATTGGAAGTTGGAGAATTTGTTTGACAAGGGTTTTGCTTTTCTTTTTTTTTTATCCTGGAGGGTACAATAGCTTGAAGTCTGTATCACAGATAATAGAAATGTTGAAAGCTTATCAGGGGTTCACAGCCCTTGCTTTCCTACAGCATGTACTCTGTTTCTTTCATTCTTTTTCTGCCTTTTCCCTTCCTGACTTCCTCCTTCCCTCAGCTCCCTAATTAATCTCTCTCTTAATCTCTCCACCTCCATTACGCCTCTATTTTTAACACTGTAAACCTTCACTCTATCCTCGCCTGTCTTAACGGAAACAATCACTTTTTGCTCAGTTCATCTGCTCATCTTGACGTGTATTATTGGGATGTCATTTTCCATCACCTCAACTTTTTCATCTCCAAATATATTTTCTATCTGTCTTTTCCACTGCAGGATCCTAGTCACATTCTACACATGCCTTTCACTGAGCCTCTTTCTGTGAAACTTTCTTTCAGCTCAGCTCCATTCACACACAGTAGTGACCCTGCCAAAACACAGACAAGGGTGCCTCACCCCAAGCCAACCTCCAGCTCCCAGATCTCTGTTTCACTTAAAAAACTGCACTAGAGCACCCCTTCTCAAACAGTTCACACAGCACAAGCCCCACAAGACGGCTTTCTAAAAAACTTCATTTTCTTCCATCACAGACATATAGCAGTGGGGAATGGGGGTCTTACCTCTGTCGGTGCATCCCACAGACAGGATCAAGCTGTCCACTTTCCTTTCACTTCAACAATGCGTGCAGCAATGGTAGTCAAGCGAGAGCGATCTGAGAGAGCCAGCCGCCACTCAGGGGCCGTTGCACAAACACCAGCATTGTCCTGCAGCCTAAGTCCCTCCCTCTCGTGGTGACTCCCTGTGTGACACAGCCCCCAGCAACACAGCTCTGCACTAACACAACTCGACAGAAACCCATGGCTGTGGAGCTGCTGCCACAACACACACAACAGACACAGAGGGGACGATTATAACTCAGTGTTTCTTGTTTCTAAGAATATTTATATGTACAAAATGAGCAGCAACAAAATAAAGGCAGGCCATCAGTAATGAGCTCTCTATTCAACAGTCCCGGTATTACATAATACGTCTCAGCACAGTGAATTCCACAAATGTTCACAGACTTACAGTTACTACCAAGGTAACACTGATGTACCAATATAACAGTTTGGGACCGTTTATTATTTGGGAAAAAATTAAAAAAGGTCATTAAAGGAAAAAAGGGGTTATGTAAGGACATCCACAAAAAGAGCATGTGACCACCTCGGCAACTACTCATTGCCACTAAACTATTTTTTCATGAGCATTGATTGATGTATTGATTCCTCTTAATGGAAAAAAAAAAAAATACTATCAGTGATCTCTCATCAGCAGAGGAAATCTTATCTTTCATATAAGATTTTCATTATAATGGCAATATTTTCTAAGTTGTATGTCAAATTTAAAGTACCTGGTTATACCATCCACTGTTAAAAAAAGAAGGTTATTTGTGGTGAAAATAGAAAACTGCTTGTGGTTTATGCTTTGCCTAGGTGAAAGAGTGGGTCTCTGTTTCCAACCAAGAGGGTCAGCAGCCAGCACAGGATTGTCCATGACTTAACAGAAGACTGAGGGCAAAGAAAATAAAGTTTTATTAGAGGGATAAAATGATTTATAATAGGAGAAATGCATTTTAAAAAGGCAGTATGTTATTCTATACTACATACTATATTCATATCCCAGGACTTTTTAAATTTTCCTTCTATTGTAATAGGTCAAATGAGCCTCCCAAGTTAATATACGTTTATAATTAAAAGCATGACAGGTAGACAGACCACTGTGACAGCTCTTTGACAGTAATTCTAACAGCTCTTTGGTAGTGTAATCAATAACAGTGTGTCATAGGTTAGCACTGTAGCCTGTAACGTGCATGTTAGGTCCATTTCTTCAGTGGCTTAGATCTGCAGTTGGTGTGTGCAGTACAGCGGCTGTCCACTGCTCCTAATACTGAGGATGGGTTAAATGCAGAGGTCAGATTTTACTAAGTATTGTACTGATGATTATATAATGTGATAATAAAGTTGATTCTATTTAATTCTATTATTTTAAGTGTAAAATAGCATAACATGGAAACACTGAAGTAAAGTACAAGTATGTCAAACTTGTAATAATGTACAGTACATGAGTAAATGTACTTAGTTACATTGCACCACCAGTGTCCAAATCTGTAGACTGAAAGCTAAAAAAGCATTGAAATTATAACACGGGTTGATTTTTGGTTCACTGTGTATATTCATGGATGGATTTTTTACAATATGTCTGGACTTTGTCTCATTATCCATAAGTCTTGGAAGTCAAGTGTGCTTGGACCATCAGTGTAAATGTAACTGGGAATTACCATTTGACCATTCTGCCCTCTCCATAAAGATGGACAATTGTTCACACTCACAGAAAGGGTTAACCACTGCTCTTTTTACCAGCCCTATTTGAGTTAATGCTCTAACTGTACAGCTCTTCTTTGGGGTTTTGTATTTCAATAGGCCCACCAACATTTCCAGGGTTACAGTACATAATAATGTGATCAGCTCTATGATCCTAAATCAGAATAAACAGCAGTGATGAAATGAATAAAATGTTCATTACACACAGTCAAACTTAAATTTGACTTTGATTGTTAGCTTGCCCGTGCAGCTCAGTTTTACACCATAGAGTCACTGGATTGCCCCGTTGCCTAGCAACATCACAACCTTACATGGGACTGATGTTCCCAAGGAAACCAAAGAGTGTGCTGTCCCTCCACTGACCGATCACCATTGTACAGGTTCACAATCTGACTGAGGACTACAGCATTAACACACATTCAACCAGACTGGAGTGACTAATGAATGAATGAATGAAGTCACGTGGAGTGGTCTTAAGTTTGAGTGGAAACGTGTGTGGTCTCAGCCCTCCATCAAACATGGGATTGCAGTTGCAACCAAACTTTAAAGGTCCAGCGGGTAACATTTAGAAGAATCTATTGACAGAAATTGAATATAATAGTGATATGTATGTTTTCATTATCGTAGAATCATCCAAAAGTAAGAATTGTTTTTGTTTTTACCTTAGAATTTGCCATGTATATCTACAGATACCGGCGGGTCACCTTCCATGGAGACTGCCATGTTGAACCGCAATGTTTCTATAGTAAGTAGGAGGGACAACCGAAACACTGGCTGTACATAGGGGCGTTTGTAGGGAGGGGGTGGACGATCTGCAATTACACTGCTAGATGCTGCTAAATTCTACAATAGGACCTTTAAGGCAGAATGAGTAAGATTTTAGATTTTAACACATTTTAGACTCCAAACTACAAAAATAAACCCTCTCAGCCATCACTGACTGACAAGAAGTGTGTTACCCTGCCCTCTGCATTTTCTTATTCTGCTGTGTTTGGGATGTTTCTGGGTGTCAACCTTTGGGCAGTGGGTGTGTAACCCCCAGCCAGTAACAGCATGCAGGTATGTGATATAGCAGGTGGCACACTGGGCTGTGTTCTGGCAACCCTGGTCAGGGGTCGTGTGCTTCTGGTGTCACTGAGCCGCGGAGCAGGAGCCAACTTTGAGTGTTGTGTTTACAAACCACAACAGAGAATTCATTATTTTGCCCTATCAGCAACAGGGCCTGAGGTTGGCGGTGTTGGATGGTCTAGGAGTTTTGTTTACAGCTTAGTATCTCAGAGTGTTGTGATATTTTACTGTGGATATGCACGTTCTCCCATGACCTTTCCTCCAGCACTATTATGACATCAAATCCACTTTAGAAGCCCCTGTCTGCTTGCTCAGCACATCCCAACCCAGTCAAACACCTAAAAAAGATTTTTAATCAACCTGGAATTATGTTACAATGGAAACAGCTTGGGTCTAGGTTTAATCACTGACAGTTGTTGACACCACACACTGCTACAGCAACAAGCATTTATAATCCTTCTCTTTGAAACAGTGATGGGTTTAGACTTGTGGACTGACTCAACAAGTAAATCAGAGTATTTTTGGGGCAAATGACCACTGAAGTTACTGAGTACATATTGTATAATATACAGTTTGTATATGTATAATATATACAGTATATATAAGTATAATATGAGTAGAAACTATAGAAACTATAATGTATTCATTAGGCTCCCAAGACAATGAACTATATCCATGCTGTTGGGGAATTCATGAGCTTTTCTCTTGCACCACCTATAGGCCAAAATGTCAACCTGCACACAAACGACTCATAAATCTCATAATTTAATTTAATGCAATTAAATGTGCTGATCATTGGCCCTTCCAGTAAAAACCTTTGGATCTAAAGGAGCCCATGGCCTCTCCTCAATAGTGTCACCCCAGGTAAAAACATTTCCCCTAACTATTAACTAAAACTTAACAAATGTGATTGGGTAAAATAAAGCAACAGCTTCCAAGGGCCCTTGTTTTTTTTTACTTGCATAAGAAAGTTTGTTGACCTTTTACATATACATTTAATTATACCTAACTAGAATGCATGGAAGGTATGAGGTCGCATATGATATATAATAAATGGGATGTAACTGGAGATATATGCACGGACAGGCTCTGAAAACAAGGCAGCATAGCCTTGTGTCACTCCCATGTCATTGAGAACCACCGCTGTGCCATAAGCATGCACTTTTCACATTATTGCGATGGGGGGAGCCCCTGTGTAGTGGATCGCCTGAAACTTGCATCGTGATGTTGTTTACAATATCTAAATGTAGCTGAATTTACTGTGCGTGTCAGTGATCAGCTGGACGAAGCTTTACAAAGAGTCCGACTTGTTTGAAAACGGTTGTTGCTGTAGCGAAGTAAAATAACGGATTGTATGTTAAAACAGTAATAATAACAATAATAGAATATTTTTTTAAAAAATATATGCCAGATAAGAGGACTAAAATTGTATCCATGCACACACCAAAAAAACACAGTGATTTAACATGAAACAAGTTACCTGGTCCAACTTTTTATTTATTTTTTTATTTATTCAGCATTTATTCAGCATTCCCTTTAAACGGCGGTCGCATTATCAAGTATATGGGGTACTATTAACTATACACCTGTGTACTATAACGAACAGACAAATCTAATTAACGTTTTTCTTAACAAGTACAAGTTACTGTAGTAAAAACCCAACATAATCGACACTATAAAGCCTGCTGATACTCCCCTATAGTTTAATATATAGAGTTAAATAATCGCGTCCCCCCCCCCCCCCATTCAACGCCGTGTTTTGGTATCGCCCTACCCATCTGCTCTGCTCCGGTGAGACTCTGATTGAAACAGATTGTAGCGCTCCGCGGGTCGCCATGGCAAAAGTCCGAAGAGGACGGAAGCAGCAACTTTTGTCGCATTTGTAATGTCACGGAGACATTATAACTCGCTGGAGAAACTACTTTCTAATGTGAGAAACGAGCGTTACGACATTCCTCCAGTCCGAAAATGTCCCAGGGATGTACAGTTTCTGTGGAAGAGATCCAGTCTTGGTGGGAAGTCCCCGCCATAGCCCACTTCTGCTCGCTGTTCAGGACGGCGTTCAACCTCCCAGACTTTGAAATAGAGGTAAATAAGAACCGTGGTCTCTTTTAATGACACCGAATGTGTTTCATTACGGAAATGAAAAGTTGTTTGTGTCAGCTTTTTTGGCCTGCGCGGTCCGACGAGCGCAATTTGTGTTAACAACCCGCGGCGGTAAAACCAGCTTAACCGTGTTTCTCCGAACTTCTCTCTCGGTTAACGTTACTGAAGAGATCCTGTTAGGTAACGAGCTACAGGCTAGTTTTTACTGCTAATTGCTGGTGCGTATAAAAGTTTGAGAAGCAGCCGTGAGAGCCAGTCAGATGACGGTCCGATGTCCAAAGTAATGTTCCTCTTTTTTTTTTTTTTTTTTTAAAATATATATATATATGTCTAAGGATTGCTGGGGTGTTGGTGTGTAAACTTTAACTGTAACTGAACCATGTGCCACTCGTTTGTTTTCATTTGGCCAGAGCCTCATGTTTGTACTGAACAGCGACCTGGCCATTTAAACTTAAAAAAAAAAAAAGTAGATAAGAGAGAGAGAGAAAAATTATGAGAATATTCTTTGAGAGGGTAGAAGGGGAAAAAAAGTGAGATATTTAACGTTTAGTGCCAACCCCCCCTTTTTTATCATTAATGTTATATTTAAGGGATTATGTGTTTTTAAACAGAGAAAAGTCGCGCACTGACTCAACCGTCGTCCTGCTCTCTCGGTGGATTATGTTACTGTGTATTTTTTTTTTTCTTCCTTCTGTCATATAAAGTTAAGTTCATGGCGTGAGGGTGCGAGTTTATTGTCTTTCAGTTGCAAGCCATCTGGCTCGAGTAGCCATAGGGACGCAGATGCTCTTAAGGCATTGTTTGCTCGCCCAAGTCGCGTTTTGTTGCAAGAATCGATGCTTTTAAAAACAGTTCCGATATCAATAAGTTGTAGAGGTGAGATCGTTCCCCTCTCTTCTCCAATCTATCGCAGAATAATCGACATTTGTTACACCGCGATTACATAATTAACTTTTATCCCTCGACCCCCCCTCCTCCTCCTCCCCTCCTCCACCTCCTCCTCCTATCTCCTCCTCCCTTGTTCCTTTTGAAATGTGTGTTTCACAAAACAGCTTATTTCCAACATGTATCTATTCAAGTATCGCATCCGAGTAAATTGAGATCGTTTAATCCATCAAAGAATGATTGCACTTTAGAGAAATTGGTAAGGTCAACATCACGCATCAACAGTCTCCATCACTCATTCATCCCCCACCCCCCCTTCGGCGGAGAAACACACGCAGGCATCGCTTTGTTATTAAACGAGGTGCAGGGCCAGATCGGGGGGGTCGCATTGCGCCCACTTTACATGAAAGTTGAGGGGTCTTGTGCTGTTGCATTTTCTCCTCAAGATGGGGGTTTGGATTCACGCGAAAAATAACACAATTTGTTGAATCTGATCCTGAGTTATCCAGTTGCAAAGAGCAGCTCGGTCGAGCTTCCTGATTTATTTATTTATTTTAAACTTTCCAAACGCTTCTGGGAGTCCAAGCATTGGTTGGAGGCACTCAGTTTTGTAACGCGAGGGGTTCTTTCTTGCTGCTACCCCAGCCACACACACACACACACACACACACACACACAGCAAATGATGTATTCGTCTTTAAACGCATCACTAAGCAGATCACATGTGAGGATACACCCCCCTCAGCTGGATTTCGAGGAAGTATTGAGATTGATGTAGTAGTCTTATACTTTGACATCTCCATCAGACACACACACACACGTGTTCAAGGTCATAGCTCCTTTGGTTATCATTTTAATTATGTGCAGCTGTAGTTATAATAATAGCTAGATAGTACTTAACTGCTTAGGGTCTGTGATTTAAAGCAAGTGGAAGTACATTTTTTTTTAGTAATACTGTTTCTGTGGTATCTAGAGTCATGTGCTGAAACCTCAACGTCACATGAAACTGTCTCTGTGTGGGGAAAACGGGAATGCATGGTGCCGATTCAGCTCATTTTGTTGCATATTTGTTATATTAGAACCCAAAACCCATATATTTATGTTTTTTTTTAGTGTGTCTGTGTTGAATAAGCAAGTGGCCTTGTTATTTTGTAATGTATAAATCCGGTGCCTTTAATGCTGCTAAGCTTTTTGTTCTGCGTGAGTGGAAGACTAAATCTACTTAAGTAGCTGTGGACACTTTTATTCCACTAATGAGTTTAAATAAGAACCCCAACTGAGTTAAAGTGCATCACGGAGTCACCTCAATTAGAAAGGGCTGTTTTGTTTTGTCTTGCTTTGGATTTCTGAACTACCCAAACACCTGTGCATGTTCACGTAGGTGGAATGAGAAGAAGTTATAGTAAGAGAGGACATTTAGACCCAGCTGGTAGAGTGTAATTCAGAAACATAGCGTGCATCTAATGGGAGAGTCCGACTGATCGGTTCATTTCGGTCCCATGCTGTTGTTCAGAACTTCTTCCTGATTTTGGTCTCTCTTCTCTTTTTTTTTGTTTTCCCTGAAAAGCATGTCGCCTTTAAATCCTGGCGACACATGTGCAGAGTGCTTTGAGCTCTGCTTTTTACACCTGTGTGCGTTTGGGCCATTTGGTGCGTAAAAAAGCAGTCTTTTTGGAGAGAGTTCAGTGTCAGGAAGTCATAAAATCAGTACAGACCACCATTAGTCCAAACGTCAGTCTTCTACACTGCAGATAACCCTGCACAAATCACCGCCCTTAAAGTATGATATTAAAGTTATCAGCTGACATAGTCCTGTGCTATTAGGGCCGGTCCAGATGAATACGAGGCCTCACCCAATACGATGTCGTTTAAAAAAAAAAAATCTCCGTAAACACGGCGTCGTTTCCAGAAATATCTGCGTCCACACGGATTCACTGAAACGACCCAAAACGCTGTAGTACATATGCCAGGCCTGTATGTGGCGCTGTGACGCCGCCACACCAATACAGTAAAACCGGAAGAGAAGCCATCGAGCATGCGCTGTTTACAAACAAGTAGTAGTAGTCCGCCGTTGTTGTTGTTGTGATGATGCGTCTAGCGGCGGCGGCTCAGGTTAAAGGCTAGAGAGGCGGGGCTAATCCGCTTTTGCCATCCAGACGACTCCGGGCAATCCGGCGTTTTCGGATTTTCCCACTCTGGGACCCGTTTCCAAAGAATACCGTTTTCACACCCCGAAAACGCCGTATCCGTCTGGACGCGAGGCCGATACGATAAAGTATTTATCCGGATTCGAGAAAAACGTATTCGTGAGGACAGGCCCTTAGTCTGCTTCTTGCTGCCCCTGTGGCATTTCAAACTCAAATATTCACACCAGCTTCTGGCACTCCACTGATGTAGAACAGTAGCCGGCATGTGCTTATTGCAGAGTCTGGACATTTGGATCCAACATGTTTACTTTGTGAGGACTTTGTGTTGCAGTAAGAGGAAACTGTCAGACAGACATGTTTGTTTTGCTTAATGCCACATACCAGCGACAAGACGAGCTTGCCTGGGCACTGTCATGAAACGCTGGGCTGACTCATTTTTACCTTTGCCCTTGTCTTGACTTGTATGGTTGAGGTGGATGAAAACTGATGAGCCACTTGAAGCTAATAGTCAATCAATATAAATTTGACAGCCGATCACAAAGTTTAAAGTTCATTTTCTTTTGTCTTCCTCCTAAGAGAGGATGAGATGGGCCCTTTTTCGGCTGTGCTTGTGTAAGAATGGTTGGGTAACGTCAGTCACTTACAGTTGCAATCCTATCTGGATAGGTTGAATTACCCAAGAATCAGGGGTAGAAAAGGGGGCAGGAAACGGCTGTCATTGGTCATGACAGAGTGGGGGGGGTGTCGAGTGATTTCACTCTGTCCTTGGCTTTAGTGTCAACATTCTCTGACATGCCATCAGTCCTTCCTTGTGGACAAAGCTTCTTATATTGGCTGCTGCTGTCTTTGTCCGTGTCAGTCTTTGCCACCCTGTCCATATATTAGAGACAGCGGGGGTCAATATTGTGGCTGCTGAGGGCCTCAACCAACTCAACCGTGTACTGGGTTTTCCCTTTGGTGTCAGTTTAAGGAGACGGTGATAAGAAGCATTCTTCCGCAGCATTAGTTTGTCGTTTCTTGTTGCTTATTTCTAACCTGACTGTGCCAGATTGTAGATTGTATTGTTTTCCATCGAGAAAAGGCCGTCGGTGCCAGTCCTTGCTCATCTTTCAAGAAATACTCTCCAGTTGTGACATGACTGATGGTAGCAGCATCTACGCTAAGCTCTTCCGCAGCCGCCATTGTTGTTGTTGCGCAAACAAGACACTCACACATGTTGTCACACACACCCCCTAGCGTTAAACCACACCCGTAGTTCATGCTGTAGCTCCCAGTAGTTCCTCAAAGGACACGCTGGTTGGTCTAAACCACTGTGTTTGGACAGAAGTGGGTAGCTTTAAGGCTGACAAGGAGGATTCTGATGTAGGTTAGCTTATTTCATCACATTAAAAACATTAAGAAGAAGCTAAGTAGAGTGTTTTTGAGTTTCAGGATACATTCTGTGCAAGTTAAGATGTTTGAGGCAGCTGACTACTGTAACAGTGTCACTGAAACACCTGTTTCTCTCTCATAATGGAGACTTTTGTAATGGATGCCACATTTGAGACCACAGTGAAACTGCTATCAGGGTGGATATTGACAAACTCAGTGATTCAGTCAGCCAGCACTGTTGTGATATACCGTTGGAGCAGCTCTTTTCGTTCTACGGTGCTGGTCAGTGATAATGGAGTCTCCCCCAATCTCCTTGGCTAGCCTTACAAAACAGCCCCTTGCACATTGTTCCTTGGCTGATACACTTCACTGTCGCTGGTTTCCACTTTCCTCAGGCTGCAGGCAGCTGGGAGAGCTGTGTGTGTGTGTGGTTGAGACAGTTGAGTGGGTGAGATGGAGAGGGAAGAAAGAACAAGTGGGAGGTAAGGGGAAAGTGGGGAAGAGGAGAAAAAGTGTCCTAGAGATTGGTGAGGATGGCTAGGAAGTGAAAGCACATTAGTATGAAAGAGTGAGAGAGAT